CCAAAATTTATTTTCTTTATTATTATTATTATTATTATTATTATTATTATTTATTTTCTTTCTTCCTTTCTTATTGAGATGGACTATATATATATATATATTCTTAATTAGCCCTTTTAATATATCTCGAATACATTAATAAGGAGTACCAGACTCCTAATCACATGCAAGTATCATGGGTAGTTTTGACAGGTATTGGCCGCGTATCAAGGAGAAAATAAATTATTTTTATTTTTATTTTTATTTTTTAGTGTGAATAGAATGCTCATTATACAAAAGAATCAAATTTTGGAATTAAATAATATTTTAGTGGTAAAAAATTATCATGCATTAATTGCTAATTGCTAAATGAAAAATTATTGGATGATGACAAGTAGAGCAGACGAATGCAATAATTTTGTTGTTCATAAAATTATCAGAAAAAGTAATCCAACATAAAATGGAACTTTGATCATTGTGGCTTTGTGTTGTCTGCTGTCACATCAAAATGAAATTGAGAGAGAGACAGAAATGGGAAAATTGTAAATAAATCTTGGTAATTAACTGTTTAATTACTTAATTTGTCAGTAATGATACTTTTTAAATGAAGTAACTAAATAGCAAATATCAGAGACAAATTAATAATTTACTAAATAATAAAATTGAGGTAATAATTAGATTAAAATTTAAATTAAGATTAAATAGTTAATTACCCAAAAATTTATCATCACCCCAACAATCACAAATTTAAACCTACAAGATAAAGATATTATTATTTATTTAAGTTTTTATTGTTTTATCATTATTTAATTAAATTTAAAATTTGAATTTTACTAATTTTTTTAAAAAAATTTATATAGTGATGTTGCCACTTTTTAATGCATGGTAGCTTGAGCTGCGGTGTTATTTAATTAACGATTAGTGGAATTATTAAAGATTAAAATAATTTTTTGACCACCACCAATAAGCTATCTACACTACAGACTCTTCCATATCTTTGATTAAGATTATTTATACTTATATTCTAACCTATATATGATTAATTTTAGAAATCTGCTTGCCCTACAAAAAAAAAAAAAAAAAAAAAAAATCTTCCATATCTTTGACTTCTTAAAGATTAAAAATTTATCTTATATTCTAACCTATATATGATTAATTTTAGAAATCTGGCTGCCCTACAAAAAAAAAAAAAAAAAAAAAAAAAAAAAAAAAAAAAAAAGAAAAATTCAAAGAAGTATGTGGTTAGTCATTAAAGTCGCCATTTCAGTGATACCCTTGACTTGGTAGAGAGGATCATGTGAAAAGTGACGTAATGGTGGATGCCAAATGACCATCGATGAGCAATTAATTAATTATAGGTATTTATTATTATGTGTGGTAGGTAGTATATTATTGTTATATGAACACATGACCTTCATGTTAGCATATCTTTTCCTAGTTTTTATATATATTACTATAAAGTATCTTCAACTTCTCTAATTGAGTCGGTTGCTACAATTCCTACCAAAATCAAGAACATGTAACAATTTATATATTTGTGTGTATAATGTAGCTATATATATATATATATAAATATTAATGTAGCTATAATATATAATAATATAAGTCAATTATATATAGTATAGAATTTATAATATTAGTGTAATAGGAAATAAAAAGATATTTTAGAAGTTAGTGGTAATCAAACAAGGCCAAATCCTGAATGAGAGGATATCCTATACTATATATATATATATATAAATATATATAATAGAATTATAATATATTGTAATGAATAAAAAATATTTAGAAGTTATGGTGAACAAACAGCCAATCCTATGATGAGGATACTATAATGTATTTTAAGCTCAATATTGTATTTGATTATTACCATGTTGGAAATTTTGGATATTTGATATGATAGTATCTTCTCTACATTTATTATACTAGATATTTCGATTTTAGTCCTAAGGATGATTTCATATTTTAAATATTTTTCATTGGTTAGTTCTAAATATAAAATTCTGGTTCACATAAAAAAAAAAAGGTATGTTCACTTGCTAATTAGGTGATGATTAAGATTTCTAAGTCATTCAACAGAACTAATTTTGTCGACAATAATATGATAATTCATCTTCTCCTTTTTTAAACCAAAAGGTGTTAATCCACTCAAGCTGTGGTGTACAAAATTTTTTTAGTATCCAGACAAATGCATAAAAATTTTCATCTTGTTTATTAATAAGAGTTCGATTTCTCTACAAAATACTTTAGGAATATAGATATGGTAGTTCTAAGTCCATCATAGCGACATAAGATAATGTTACATTTAATATCTTGATCAATTGGATTATTTCTTTATGGATTCTGGTATATACGAAACACTTGTAAATGTCTTTTCAAGTATTTCTTTTTCTTATTTGCTTTGCTACATGTCTTATTTCAAGATTTATTAGAGAAATGACTCGATCTCTGTACGCATAAAGTGGTCAAAAAATACCCTAATCGTAATTTTTTTTTTTTTAAAAAAAAAAGAAAGAAATATAAGTTACTTTGATTGTTGAATGGATATATTTATAAACATGTAGTGTTACTCATTGATGAAAAGTTGCATAATAAGTAGCAGAAGTATATCTTTAAGATCATATCATCATATAATTGAGTCAATGCACATGCATACATATATTTCAACATCCAAAACCTATCTTTCTATAAATTTAGCGGTTTAACTTAAAGTAAACGAAATCTTCAGTTCCAATAATTGAAACTCCTCAACTGCTATATTATTACACAACAACAATAATGCCTTCATATTTTTACTTATTTTGCCTCTTTATTACACAATTATGGGTTGCATGCATCTTATAAAAACCATATCAAATCCTTCTCTCTAAATTTTGTTACTAAAATTGTTATACATATAAATAATGATCATCAAATAATTAGATCCATTTAATTTTTTTTTTTTTTGCCCAATAATTGAATTTCTCGTTCACATTTGTTTTTATCAATTTAAAGAAAGTTTTCTTGTTTAGTTTTGGGCTATGGATGGATACTATTTATGGGCATGCTTTATTTCCAAAGACCAAGTCATTATTTATTTTTTTATTTTTTTGTAAAGACAAGGCTTGTGATTGGTTTAAAATTGGCCGCAAAAACGCGTAAACGTCCCCGACGCGAACTTTTTAAGCACTAATTAATCCTCTTATCTATAAAAAATTTATTTCAGAAAAAAACAGAAGTTTGGACTTTTTGGATTGCTTGTAAGAAACTCTTCCTAGATCTCTCGCCACAACTTGCGTCGGTGGTAACAACTTTGAACATGAATAATAACAACCTAGACAGTTATTGACTCAATAGTGATTCCTATTTATCTATTTTTTCTTCCTATTTTTTAAAGATTAAATAGGTTGACAAATTTTATGAGATTGGCATATGCCTAGATTCGATATATAAGTCCACTCATAAAATTGAAAATATTTTTTTTATTAAAATGAAAATATTTCTATCCATATGCTAGAGAAAAAAAAAAGAAAAAAAAGAGAAGTATAAATAATTTTTAAAAAATTCATATTTTTTATTGGTTATAGACCTTGTCTAGGTAACTTTGGTCCTGCATGTCATATTTTTGCCCGATCTATGGGCTACTCATAGATCAAAACAATGGAAAATGAGAAAAAAATTACCTAGATTGGGTTTATAACTCTAATTATAGATCAAATCAATGAAATTAAATATTAAGAATTGTTATTAAAATGAGAGTATTTCTTACTATGTAATTGGAAAAAAAAAAGATAAAATCGGATCACTTTTTAAAAAATTATTGATTTTACTTATTTGGCGGGTCATGAATAATCTAAGTAAGTTTTTTCCATCAAAAATAATTTTTTATTGAAAAGTGAGTATTTATTACTATTCAATGGAAAAGATAAAAAGATACAATGAAAACAAATTAAAAAAAATTTCTATTTACATTAGTTTAGTATACAACTCATTATTATAAATTCTATAGTTGTTTTATTATTATTCTTCAATAAGGAATTCTTTAGTGGTTGATTGTTAATTTGTCATAATACTTTATGACATAAAAAAGTTAAATTTAACATTTTTATTTTTTAAAAAATGTTCAAAACATATATAAAAGAAGGAAATAAATTAGAGGGTCATAACCTAACCTTAGATAGATTAACAAAAAGCATTAGTGTGAAAACAAATGCACATTGACCTTTAAAAAGGCTTTTGACCCACGCAAACTTTCCACCACCCACCCACGTAGTAGATAAATCCACATTTTGCTTAGTATGTGTATTATGACTGTATGTTGTTAGTCCAGTCCCTTCTCACACGGCTTAAAGAATGCCAATCACCTCAATACAAACAGTGTCGTTTTAAATGATCAAGATCAAAGTCGGTCGAGACTCTTAATTAATGCATGCGTCATCTTATGGTGATGGGGATAGCTGTGGCGGAAGACGACGTCGGCAGCTCGCTCCACCACCTTTTTTTTTTCCCTTAATCTAAGTTAGCTCCGCCGCTTTGCCGTTATTGTTGTATATATGGATTTGTGTGCTTCTATTTATTAACACATGTGTCAATTACTAACATAATTATTTATGGAGAAAAAAGTGGATAATTAATTAAAATATCATTTTTCATTAATTATGTCAACTCATACTAATCACATTATCATACATATATGCTTTGAAGAATTTGAGAAGATTTTTTTTTTTTTTTTTTTTTTTCTTACTATTATATTAACATCATGTGTCAATACTAACCAATAATTATTATGGGAGAAAAAAGTGGATAATTAGTAATTAAAATATCATTTTTACAATTTAATTATGTCCAACTCATACTAACACATTATCATACATATATGCTTGAAAGAATTTGAGAAGATTTTTTTTTTTTTTTTTTTTTTTTTATAAACGCTAAGACAACAAGAGTTTACAAGGTACAAGAACAAATTAATTAAGGATTTAGAGCCACTGCAAGATCCATTGAAACAACTGGACTTGAGTTTTTTTTTTTTTTTTTTTTTTTATAACGCTAGACACAAGAGTTTACAAGTACAAGAACAAATTAATTAAAGGATTTAGAGCCACTGCAAGATCCATTGAAACAACTGGACTTGAGTGCTTTCTAATATTACAAAAGAAAAAAAAAATATCCACCAAAAATTATTTTGGAGTAAAAAAAAAAAAAATAATGGTGTTGACGTGGACTCCCCCTTGATGTATGTGGGTGGGTTCTTAACACATGAACAAAAACCAGACTATCGTTCTTCAGGCTCACGGTCATGAAACGACAGCCGGAAAACCCACTTGGTGAGAGATTTCTTTCTTGCATTTTTTGTCGTCTGATGTTGGCTAAGGCTCGACATCGAGTCAACAAAGGACTTTAACCGATCCAAAGCTAGGTTTAATGTTTCTTCGGACATATTAGCGAAGCAGACCCGAAACCAACCCGGTTCAGTGCAATGGCAAGAAGAACCGGGAGAAATATTTAACTTAACATCATAAACAATTTTTTTCCATAGCTCCATTTCTGCTTCGAATGTGTTGGATTTTAACAGATGTTTCATGTTAACCCAGCAAAACAAGCCTGCATTGCTCTTCAAACAACTGATACCGGCTTTTTCAAGGCCTTTTACGAGCAATTTTTGCCGGTTCTTAAGCCTTCTTTGATTTTCTTGAATATAGTTCTTTGTAAACTTTTTATCAGAAAGAAGAGCAGCTAAAAGATATTGGGTTTGAGAAGAAACTAAACCAAAGCTTGACATCTTAGTTGCTGCAGAAACAACCGTATCATCGTTTGAATAAATTGCACCAACTCGAAATCCGGGTAGCCCAAGATCTTTTGATAGACTATAAACAATGTGTACTCTACTCCACACTTCAGTATTTTCACATTTTCTATCTTTCAAAACTTCCATGATACTGACGAACGATGGCGAGCTAAAAACAGTGCCTGAATATATTTCATCGCTTATTAGATGAATTTTTTTGGCTGTAATAAAGTTTACAAGAAGATTTAATTCACTTCTTGTCATTGATGTGCCTAATGGGTTTGAAGGGTTTGTGACCAAAACACCCTTAACTCTTAAGTTTCTTTTTTCAGCTTCTAGATAAGCTTCTTCTAGAGCTGATGCGGTAATTTGAAAGCCGTTTGAGCTTGTACAATGAATTGGTACTATTTCAACTTCGGTTCTCCACTTGAGATCTCTATCAAATCTGAAAGAATAATGTAAAGTAAGATTAGAATTTTGAAACGTACATTATATGCATAATTGATAAGAAACTTTATTTTTAAGTTACAGGAAAAGTGTATATTAAGATATAACATATATACGCACCCTGGATAGTATGGAGTTGGTAGAAGAAAGGCCTCGCCGGTCTGTGCTAAACAAAACATTAGAGTTTCATTAGCAGGAGTTGCACCAGCAGTTAGTACTATTTTGTTTTGATCAAACGTTACTTTGTTTCCTCTTATTTCTGCCATAAAATCCACCAATGCCTGCAAAATTGTTCAAAAACATTTAGTTAGATATATGTATATATTTAATTCATTTTTTTTTAACTGGAAAGCAGACAGAATTTTCAGTCCTGAAGTTTTGGTATGCAAGACTTAAGGAAGGAGAAAGATAATTACTTTTTTGAAAAGAGGGAGGCCATGGTAATCTTGAAACAGAGCAAGCTCTCTAAAAATGGATTGACCATCTTTCTTGAAGCTTGCAGCATCAGGATTGTTTGCAAGCCAAGATTCAAGATGATCAAAAGAGAGTTGATTCTCTGCAAGACCCATTTGAATAATTCCTGTTGGATTCTTGATCTCATCGTATGGGTTCTTCTCGTATTCCTGCCATCCTAGGAAGTAAGAAGAATCTTGGCCATGAGTGTTGCACATGGCTTTTCTAGACAAGAGGCTCATTTTTTTTTTTTCTCTTTAGCAAATTAAAAGGATGTGATTATGAGTGTATGTATGAGAAATCTTTTGCAGGAAAAAGAAAGAAAGGAAGTATGAGCAAGAAAATAGAATGTTTGAGAGAAAAAGAAAAGATTATAGCTTTTCAAGAAGAGAAGAGAGAAATGAGTTTTGGTTGTTGTAGTTGAGAGATGTATAGGATATATATACAGTAGCCTAGTAAGTGAAGAAAAGCCACGACAAGAATTACAAAGACAAATTTGACCATAGAGACAGGATTTCATTTTTTATTTATTTGTTTTTTACTTAAATATCAATTTTTTTATATTGCAAGAGAAATGAAACTTATACGCGCTTTCTCCACCGCCCCATAGCCAAAAACATTACACATTGTTGTGCTCATATTTGGTTACTACATTTTCAGGTTACCCCTAATAATATTCTTGATTCTTTTATTAATTAAAAAGAAAAAAGAAAAAAACAATTAGTTCTTGATTTTATTGATGGAAAGGTATGCTTCATCAACTACAATGCTTGCGTAGAGTTATTAATTATAGAATATTATATATGTAGTAAGAAGACAACAAAAAAAAAAAAAAAACTTTTATTTAATTAAAAAGAAAAAAGAAAAAAACAATAAGTTCTCTGATTTTATTGATGGAGGAAAGGTATGCTTTCATCAAACTACAATGCCTTGCGTTAGAGTTATTAATTATAGAATATTGATATATGATAGCGTAAGAAAGAAACAACAGAAAGAAAAAAAAAAAGACTTCACAAGAGAAAAAAAAAAAAAAAAAAGACTTCAAAGAGAAAAAAGATGATTTTAGTAGTAGTAGTAGAAAATAGGAAAATTAATATAGTACTACTGTCTAAATATGCTGCTCTTCTGACACCAAATCTTGGAGAAAATTGTTGAGAATCTAGCCCTACGAGCAAATTAATTAAATTAAATTCAATTATATATTTAATATTGGACTTATAACGAGTTAGGCTTACTTTTAACATAAAATGGCCTAAGCCATTTTGGTTGGTTCACCCTTCATATTATATATCCTTTTAATTAATTGTATTTATCCGATGTGAGATTACTCTCGTAGTCCAACAAAAATGGCTTAACACTGACCCGCATAAACTAGCTAAGCTCCTAATGGTTAACTCAGTGGCTCCAAACTGGCTCCACCATTGGGTCCATATGCTTCCTGCCCTTGAATCCAAATTAACCCAGTATCCAAGCATGTCGGCCATTAACCTTCATTAGTGTTTTTTTGTTTTTTTGGGGGGTTCTTTTTCTAATTTATCAAACATTGTATTTGATTCGTCTAGCTTTAAGTTTATTTTAAATTTTAAAATAAAGAACAACCCCCCCCCCCCCCCCCCATCCCCCCTTCTTTCTTTTTTTTGTTTTTGGGAATAATGAACAGAACCCTTTTTGGTTTTTGAACGTCAAAACCCTTCCAAAATTCTATGGGAATAATAATACTTATAATAATAATAAAATATAATCCTTAATTTCCTCTATTCTATAAAGATTAATTTTTTTTTATTCCGTCCTAATTACTATTCCATTTTCTTTTTTTAACCCCCCCCCCCCCCTCCCCCTTCTTTTCTTTTTTTGTTTTTTTTGGAAAATGGAACAGAACCCTTTTTGGTTTTTGAAGTCAAACCTTCAAAATTCTAGTGGGAATAATAATATTATAATAATAATATATAATCCTATAATATTCCTTCTATTCTATAAAGATTAATTTTTTTTTTATTCGTCTCAAATTATAATTCATTTTCTTTTTTTTAAATTTATTATTAATTTTAATTTTTTTAATACATTCTTATTTAATATGTGTTGTTATAAATTATTTTTTCCTATTTTTTGTTTCATTAGGAGGCAATGGGTCTAAAATAACACAATATGTTACACAATAGCAAAAGAGTCTTTGCTTGATTTACTAAATCGGTAACTTTATACTCCTCACGCTAATGAAAAGACCAACCGAATTATACTTAGTTGATAAATATTTTTCCATTTGATTATTTATTGAAAGTGACATGTAATGTTAATATAGGGTATATTAAGAAAATATAAGCAAGATTTATTGTTGAAATAATATTAATTTTTCTTTTAATCTATGTAAAACATAAACAAATCTCTTTTTTTTTATAGGATAGAGCGAAAGGAATATAAGATACTGTGCAGGGTATAATAGAGTATGTACATATATAGAAGTAGATGAAGATCTTTTTTGCTTATTAAAGGCACGTCGGCCAAGATTAGCCTATTAAATGTAATTAATTTTATGGGTTCAACTTATAATTTAAGAAAATGAGATCTTTTCTTACTACTCTATCGAAGTCCTAATAATATGACATGTTAGAATTATATGTGCCATTGTTAATTTCGAAATGCATGGTCTGCCCTTCAATTACCTTTCTAATTGCATTGTTCAAAAATAACAAAATTTTCAATCAGGTAGTTGCCCAAATTTCATGGCCTTTAAATCAATTTTTTAAGTCAAATAATGCAAGTAGTTAAGGTTGGATGATAGGGACGGTGGAGATTAGTTGGTTTAGTTCGTTATAAATCTTTGTTCTACAGCAAAAAAAGGAAAATAAAAAATAATAAGCAATAATTGCTAACAACCTCTTCTACCAGTCTCCGCCCTTAGTTTTTGGCTACCTGATTTATAGGTCTCCCATTGTAAATAGGTAAGTAAGAACTAAAACCATTAGAGATGATTTTGGAAAAAGTGGAATAAAAGGAACTATATTGAATATAGTTAATTTTCTGACGGCAACAAAAGATAAGCAAAGGGTTGGTGAGGCAATTCCTTCCGCTCCCAGATTTTTAGATGACCTTTCTGCTCTTTAAGGAAAAATGTAATCTTTTTTGTTTTTGATTTGTTGCTATAAATTTAATTTAGTGAGTGACAGCTCATGATATATCACTTTCTTCATCTTTTTCTGGAGTTTGCACGGGTCACTTTTCACTTGAAGAAACTACTAGGAACTTACCCTAATTAACCTAAATTTTTTAGAGCCTAAAAACTTCAATATATCATATGGTTCTTGCAAATTAATTACAAGTGTTATAGTCTGGTTATGGAGTTCTCACTGTTGAAAATATTTTACTTCTAAATCGTATGCTTCAAAAGTTGCTAATGAAGTTTAATTGAAGTGGTTAGTGGAGGTCCTGAGACTACAAGGTTCACAGTTCGATATTCTTTTACCCGTTATTGGAATACTTCATACCGTGATCTCCATAAATACAGCTTTCCAGTTTGTCCTGCGTTATATTAAGTTTGTAAGTCTGGTTAAATTATATGCGGTAGCCGATCATCAATACATTGATTGATATAGCAGGGTAGTGATGAGATAAAATGTGAAAACATGGAAAGTGACCAAAATTGACTAATGAATAAAAAGAGGAGAACAGTATTATTGTCTCCAGAATCTGGGTTGCTAAAGCCATAAATTCATGCGATAGCATAAAAATTAATACATCCAATTATAAATGCTTAAGAAGTAACTAGAGATAGGGTCCCCCAATTCTTACTATTTGGGTAGAATGATCTGATTGATTTGCAATATGTGAACATTTTATTTTTGACAGGCACAACCAATACATTACTTATGGGACGACAAGGGCAAGACATGATGCGAAATCCCAATAATGTGATATGTAATGTTATAAATATATACAAAACCCTAATTTTAATTTTCTTTTTCCCTTTTGTTTACCAAATAAACTACATTAACTGTTTTTGTATTTTGGGTTGATCTATAGATTCAAGAACCTGTTTCTTGAACAAGAAAATTATTGGTTTGTCTATTTGATCCAGAAATTTATGCATGCTAAGCTAGCAATTTTTTGGCTTATTGTATTTTTAAGCCCCTTTCATGAGGGTATTGTTTAGCACAAATGGAGCAGCAACATATCTCCTTTTCTGCTTAGGCAAGATTAAGACTTTTTTTTTTTTTTTTTAATTAAGGTGGTGTTTTTATTTTTAAATTACACTTACACCAAAGTCCGAATATATATATATATATATATATATCGTTACAAAGATGATTCTAGTATTGTAGAAGCAATTTTTTTTTTTTTTTTTTTTTTCACAATGTCCGTAACATATAATCGAATTTTTTTAATTACTATAGTATACACTATCCTTACCAAAAGATGATTCTATGATATGCTAGACAGAGCAATTAGTATTCTTCTTTCTTTTTCTTTTACAAACATAATTATCTAAGAATTCAAAAATCCTTCAAGTATATATATAAGTTTTAGGAAAGTAACATATGCATCCATCTCCTCCACTTAGATTGCAATACTAAAAACATAGAGTTATGCTTAATCTCTTAATAAAAAAAATAAAAATTATCTAGAATTCTTTGACAGTAATAAAATTAGAATATAGACAAATTCAAAGAATTTTTCGTATTAAAAAAATGTTTAAAAAGTTTATTATATCCTTAGCAAGAGTAAATTCGACTATTTATATCAATAAATAACTAATTAAGTATAAATTATAAAATTAATTATTAGTTCGAACAATTTTTTTTTTTTTTTTTTTTTTTTTACAAACATAATTTATCAATAGAATCAAAATCTCAAGTATTATAAATAAGTTTAGGAAAGTACATATGATCCATTCCTCTAGATTGCATATAGAAATAGAGTTTGCTAATCTCTAAAAAAAATAAAAAATTATTGAAATTCTTTTGAGTAATAAAATTAATATATATGACATTAAATCTTTTTGTTTAATATAAAATTTTAAAATTTTAACCTTGCAGGTAAATTGATATTTATTAAATAAATAATAATTCATTAAATTGATAAAAATTATTATAGTCGAGACAATTTCAATTCAAAATTTTTCATTTTTTACATCTATATATAAAATAAGAAGATAAACTAGATTGACGTTGGAGGCTGAGATTTAATTACGGTTGAAAAACACTGAGAGGAAAGAAAGGGAAATATATAAAAATAATTGAAGTGGCCACGTGGTTTGTTGAAGAAGAAGGGTTATTAGGGCATGTGAAACCATGGTTAAGGAGGGTCCACCACAGCCCACTCAAACACATACATAGAGATAGAGAGGGCTTGACGAAGAAGGGACCATTTAGGTGACCTCAGTCCGTTGGTGACAACTAACATGATAGCTCACGTTAGTCCATTCCTCATACAATTCCTAGGAGACACTCTCATGGTCCATTAACCCTTTGCTTCCTTTACTTCAATAACGTAGGCCCCTCTCTTCAGTCTTTTTGATATCTATATTTCCATTTCTTCTACACCTAATACCATGAGAGCGGTCAACGAAAACTACACTTACCAACTTAACTATTTTTATATTAATAAAACACGTAAATTGCAAGATGCATGAGAATATATATAATTTTGTTTTTGCGATCCTCTTGTTAGTCTCTTCATTTTCATAGATAATGGGTAATGTCTAGTTTGAATAATTTGTTGTAGAAACTAGTTTAGTTGAAGGTTATAACCAATTATGTTTAACTAACAATCGATGATTAAGTGTTAATTAGTGATTAGCATTAGTATGTAAGTTTATAATCAAATATTTATTACCAAGAATCTTATAATTCTCAGCTTTTTCATTAAAATTTTAGAATAAGATATATTTACAAATTTTTCAACAACTATTGAAGGTTTAAATGCTAAATGATATCGTTCAATAATTTTTCTAATGGATCCTTGGCAGAATTATTGGATAGAAGTTTGAAAATGAAAAACCGAAGGACAATCCCATTATTATCTGTTTATTTGATATTATTTCTTGAACTACTGTTGGAAAATATGATGTTGATAATATTAATCAGTGGTCACTAAATTTTTTTTTTTTAAAAAAAAAAAAACGACATGTTTGAAACATAAAAATTTCAAAATGATGTGTTCTTTCTACAATATGTAGAGTTTTTATACTTTTAAATACCAAATAAAACAAAACACAAATAGTGACAAATGACTCAAATGATAAGCACGTTTATGTTCTAACTGACAAATTCTACAATCTACAAGATTTCAAGAATTTAATTTGTGGAAAAATACGTATGAGGTGAGGTCACGACAAACCTTGAAACAAAGATATTCATGGAAATTTAGAAGGAAAAAGAAAAAAAAAGTCAAAGACCAAATACAAAATAACTTCTTCCTTGCGTATTTTGTAATTAGTGGATGAAGTAAGTTGCGAGGAAATTTGATAAAATGAAAACATCGATTTAACATATGGCATATGTAAGAGCCCCAAAATTTAAGAAATTTCTCTACAACTTATAAGTTGATATATATGAAGCAAAAATTCAAGATTTGAATTAAACTTCCTACATAAATGGAAAATTAACTGCCTGATAGTGTTTTTTTTATTTTTTTTTTATTTATTTATTTTTTTTTTTGCATGGGAAAAAAATATAGCTAGCTAGGAGGCTGCAAGATGGATGATAGGATAAGCCCAAGTTCATTTTCTTAATGGGGATACAATAGCCGAATAGTCAAATTCGAAATGCAAGAAGGAGAAACCAAATTAAGAAGAGCATCCATAACCATAACCATAATAAATAAATAAATAAATAAATAAATATGAGATGTGAAACTCACAATAAATGGATCAACAAAACATGAAAGAGATGTAAGTTGAGGGCATAATTGATCCAATCATCTTGCCACTCATAATTGATCCATTCACATCTTGTAATAGAAGACCTCTAAACATAGCCTCTAAATGCCCAACAAATATGCCTATTTTGAGCATATATATATGTCAATGAGAGCATTATGTACTTTTATGGCTTTTTTTTCTGGTTTTCTTCCACTTGGGTATTTGTAAATGGTTTATTAAATTAACAAGTTAAAAATGGTTATCATATCATTTGAAGCCATGAAATACACAAAATATTTTCAAATTTGGTTGTAAGAAAAGTAATATAAATTATGAATCATCTGGAAATTAAAACAGATTGCCATTGGAAGAGAAAAGCAATAATCGATTAACAAAATTTTCTAGTATTTGATATGAATCATGAGTATATATCAACGTGTTTACTTATATGTATTAAAAAAAAAAAAAAGAAAAGAAAAACATGCTAAATTTGACAAATAGGAAATGCAATTGGTGAAAGTCACAATACAATTATGATAATGAGGACCCAAAATTAAGAAGGGAAGTCTTAGTCTTAGTCTTGTATTGTATTGTATACAAGTTGCTTTCAAATTAATAAGGTATAGTTTGTCTTGTTATGTATCCAAGTGGGTCAATATGGTAACAGTCAAGCATAGTGATAGAGTGTTAGCCATACACAATTATCAATGGGTCTCTCTCAATTACAAATTAAAACCCTTTCTCTTCCCAATTATTTGCATCAATTTTACTTCCCAAATAAAACAGTTCCAACCAAGCCATGCGGCTTCTTTATTGCACCTTATAGATGGCAGAACTAGTCCAGCCTAGCTTGAAAGTGATTGATCTTCCTATTGCCCTACACACTACACTGCACCAATTACTCATTCTACTGTCCTTCAATATTACAATTAGGGTTTCCTTTCAAAACCCTTTCACATTAAACACTTAAGTTTAATGGTGAATGTAGTCATCCACACATGCAAAACATTGAGCATGAGACAAAAATTGAACCATTTGAAATGAAAGAAAGCTGGAGAAAATAGATATATTGTGCTGAATGGTGGGGTTGGGATTGTATATTAAGACCCAACACAGTCAAGTGGGTGTGAAGAGCCCATTGGCCTATGTAGACAGTTTGTTCTTGATCTTGACAGCTTGTTTTTAGCCTGTTCTATATTGGCTAAATTCAAGTGTTCAAAATTTGCAATGGGCCAGACATGCTTTGTGATTCTAACATTTGTTTTGCAAATTTTAGACCCATTAAGAAAATGGACTATTGTCCAACAAGCTGACACTCTTAACATTTGTTCTCTTGTAGTGCCACAGTTGGCATGTTCCACTGCTGTTGCAGGCTAGGGATCCATTCTTTTGGCCATTGTCTCATTGACTTGTAAAGTTGAATGATATTTATTTTGAAGTTAATTGAATAAATATGTCGATTTTTTTTTTTATAAATGAAAATTTTTTTGATATGACTAGGGGATTTAATCCTCTTGGCCAATACAACATAAAAGTTTTTTGCTCTCTAGTAAACTATGTTGGGGATTGAATTTGTTTTTATACCCTTGTAGTGTTTGTAGAAATTGAGATCACTTACCATACCAATTTTGTTGATATAAATAAAATGTATTTGATAAATGATATTTACTTTTTTAATATTAGTTGCATAACCAATTTTAACTATTAAACCAATAGTTATTACTTTTAAATTATGAGATTTTTGCAATTTTTTAATAATATAAGCATATTAATAAGGGGGAAATATAGAAAATCTGTTGGGATTTAACTCAAAATTGTTGTTGGATTTGGAAAGAATAATTTATAGAATTGTTTCTTATTTGGCCGTTTGTTTTCGAGAAAATAATTTATTTTGAAAATATTTTTTAATTTTTTTATATTTGGGTTGCTGAGAAAAATCAATTAAAGTTTTTTTTTTTTTTGTCAAAGAGAAAACTACGTCATTTTATAGGAAAAGGAGAATGTTCAATTTACCCATGAACTGAGACTTAATATACAAAAATTATTGCAAAATTAGGTTTTTCCTACAATTTTTATCACAAACTCGTACACAAATCGAAAGTTTATCCAACTTAGAGATAATGAACAACATGCAGTCAAAGAGAATAAAAACTAAAAAAATATAAATATATTATTCACAATCGATAAGAAAACAAAGAAGAAAAATCCTTAAATTCCCAAATATTATATATTTCTTCCTTCAAAGAAAAAGAATTTACAATTCATACCTTTTTTTTCAATCAACATTTTACTTATAATACTACTTAAATTTATATCTATAAGATGAAATAATATTAGGATGTAACTTCTATTTATATAATAGTAAAAATAAAATTTTTAATTGGAATGTTGAAATTGTAAATTTTTTGTGCTCTAATATTTGATAGTTGGCTTTTGTAAGTTTTAACGCAGTGTAGATTTTGAAGGGTTTTTGAAGAGTGAGTGAATGATGCAATATACTGAAATTATCATTGCTTATATATCATTAAACTTTCATTTTTTACGTCTCGGTCTCGATATTTTGGGATGGTTTTGAAAATTATATAATTTCCGTTCTGATCTAACCTATGCACGCTCCTAATAAGAACAAGAACAAGAACCATACATACAAGACAAATTAACCTATGGGCTATTATTAGCAAGTAGCAACACAACCACTGACAAAAAACAAAATTTTCCTAGCGGGCCTAAGCCCAGTTACAAGTTCTGGATATGATTTTGGGCTTTTACTCTTTGCTTCTTTTCCTAATTGCTTTAGATGGATTCATTAGGCAACAGAAACTTTTCCCAAAACAGTTTGGGCCCAAGTTTTTTCTTTTTTCTTTTTCTTTTTTTTTTTTCAATTTGCACCATATAATGTCTAAATATAAATTTAAATCTATTATTTTGAAAAACTCATATAATGACTAATAATTTCATTTTTATATAAAGTCGAATTCACACTACATTTCGTCGAATTTTTTTATTTTTTAGTATTTCTCAATTTTCAAAATTGAGATTATGCATTTCATATGTCCATATTAATTTATTAGTTTTGCGTCAAATTTCAATATACAATAATTGATTGGAACATAAAATGGATATTCTTAAGATTATAATTATTTTATAAAATGTTTAATATTCGAAAACACATAACTAAAGTGAAAAATATAAATTTACATAAGATCATAAAAGTTCTTCATACCGCTTAAAACCAAATGAATTTGACAAGCTATAACTTCAAGGTGAGAGGTTGCAGTTGTTTTTTATCAAGGGATTCAAAAATTCTTTACTCATAATAAGAGGCAAATGCTCTAAGATTTGAGAGACAAACTTTAGATGAGCCAAGTCTCATGGACTTATCAAGCCTTCCGTCAACTTCTGAAAGCTTGCATAACCAACAGAGACCTTCCAACTGGCAAAGCTCTCCACACACTATACATCAAGTCGACAGTCCCTTCTTCAACCTATCTTTCCAACCATTTTATCATCCTTTACTCCAAATGCAACCGCCTAACCACTGCCCACAATGCCTTCAAACATATCCACGAACCAAATATCTTCTCTTTCAATGTTCTTCTCGATGCATATGCAAAAGAATCATTAACTGACATTGCACACCACCTGTTTGATCAAATTCCTCAGCCTGATCTTGTCTCTTACAACACGATTATCACTGCTTATGCAGATTGCAGAAATCCTTTACCTGCTCTACAATTGTTTAAGGAAATGAGAGAGATTGGTCTTGAAATGGATGGATTCACCCTTTCTGGAGTTATTACTGCTTGTTGCAATGATGTGAATTTGATTAGGCAGTTGCATTGTTTGTCTGTTTCTTCTGGGTTTGATTCTTATGTTTCAGTGAATAACTCGCTTGTTACCTATTATGGAAAAAATGGGTGTTTGGTGGAGGCGGAAAGAGTATTCTATGATATGGGAGAGGAGAATAGAGATGAAGTTTCTTGGAACACTATGATTGTGGCATATGGGCAGCATAGGATGGGGTTCAAAGCGTTGGCATTGTTTCAAGAAATGAATCAGAAAGGCATTGACATTGATATATTTACTCTAGCAAGCGCTTTGACTGTGTTTACGTGCTTGGACGACTTGTTTGGGGGACTTCAGTTCCATTCCAATTTAATCAAAACAGGATTTTATCAGAATTCTCATGTAGGGAGTGGTTTGATTGATTTGTATGCAAAATGTGGGGGTAGTATGCTAGAGTGCAGGAAAGTGTTTGAAGAGATACCTGTACCAGACTCAGTTCTTTGGAACACAATGATTTTTGGGTATTCACTAGATGAGGAATTATCCGAGGAGGCTCTTGATTGTTTTAGACAGATGCAACGCAGTGGTCACTGGCCAGATGATTGCAGCTTTGTGTGTGTGACTAGAGCATGCTCTCATTTATCATCTCCATCTCAAGGAAAGCAAATTCATGCATTGGCAATAAAATCTGAGATCCCCGCGAATCAAATTTCTGTGCATAATGCACTTGTTGCCATGTATTCTAAGTGTGGAATTCTTCAAGATGCTAGACGTTTGTTTGATAGGATGCCAGAGCATAATACTGTTTCATTAAATTCAATTATCGCAGGCTATGCACAACATGGGATTGGAGTAGAGTCACTACGCCTTTTTGAACAAATGCTTGAGATTGGTAATGCTCCTACACGAATAACCTTTATTTCTGTCCTTTCTGCTTGTGCACACACTGGAAAGGTTGAGGAAGGCAAGAGGTACTTCAGTATGATGAAAGAGAAGTTTGGTATTGAGCCAGAATCTGAACATTATTCATGCATGATTGATCTTTTGGGTCGAGCCGGCAAACTGTGTGAAGCAGCGGAACTAATCGAGACAATGCCATTTAACCCTGGCTCCATTGGTTGGGCTGCATTACTCGGTGCCTGCAGGACGCACGGAAACATGGAGCTGGCAGAGAAGGCAGCAAATCATCTTTTGCAGTTAGAACCTACAAATGCTACACCTTATGTCGTGCTTGCCAATATGTATCATAGTGCAGGCAAATGGGAAGAGGTAAGTAGAGTTAGAAAGCTTATGCGTGCTAAAGGTGTCAAGAAGAAACCAGGGTGCAGTTGGATCGAGTTGAACAATAGAGTAAATGTTTTTGTCGCAGAAGATAGATATCATCCGATGATAAAAGAAATTAATGGATACTTGGAGGAGCTGTCGACGAGAATGAAGGGAGCTGGGTATGTGCCTGATGTCAGATGGGCATTGGTTAAGGATGATGAAACAGAGGAAGGAGAAAAGGAGTTTAAGATAGGGCATCATAGTGAGAAACTAGCAGTAGCATTTGGATTGCTTTCAACTAAGAATTGGGAGCCTATAATTGTTATGAAAAATCTAAGGATATGTGGGGATTGTCACAATGCAATCAAATTTATCTCTAAAATTACTGGTAGAGTAATTACTGTTAGAGATACACATAGATTTCATTGTTTCAAGGGAGGAAAGTGCTCTTGTGGCGATTATTGGTGATAAATTTGCAAGTATTTGCATCTGTATTATTGGTATTATATATATATATTAAAAAAATCATCAAGCTCATTACTATAGTTTTTTTTTTCTTTCCTTCTTTTTTGTCATATATGAATCTGAATAAATAATAAAAAAAAAAAACACTGCTAGTTTGCCAATGCCTGTTAAAAAGAATTTATTGCTAATCTGCCGACATATCTATCTAATATCTATGACATCATATTTAAGCTGTTTTTTTTTTCTTTATTTTAAACAGGTAACAAAGTCAAGACCCAGCATAGTTTTTGTTTAACTGTAGCAGTTCGTAGTCAAAAACTGTATGCCGGCCAAACACACAGACACAGATCCGCCGACCCGTCTGGTGCTGTTAGACTGGCAAAAAACTATATGCTGGGACCTAAGAAGCAGAAAGCAGACAGCCAAAGCATTACTGTTAAAGACACAAAAAAAATTCAACACATCAAAAACAAAAAAACAAATCATATAAAAAATTTCCATTAATTAAATTAATAAACACGGACCAAGTAATGTTAAGGACACAACATAGGATGATATCAACTTCTTTGTTATCAATTTGTCTACACGGCTTATGGTATGTCTTATTTGACAGCTAAAGATACAATTCTTTTTATGTTTGGGCTTTAATTGCATGACAAACAAAACTGTAAAATTCTTGACCTCATAAATGATCTCGCATCATCTATTAATGGTATGGATTCAAATGGAATACTTGACAGGTTGGCTTGTATGACTTCTTTAATGCAGCTTGCTCAAACTTCTTTAGAGCAGTTTCATTTTCTTCTAAGCTTGTCTGGACAAAAAATCGAACCCACCAAGATGAGCTTCTCATTTTGGCCTGCACATACAACATCAAAGGGGTTGTTAAGATACAAATACCATAGACAAGTAATCCTGTTGCAAATGAAGCAACCATGAAAATGGACTTCCTACCCTCAGTAACGGTGAGGAAGCAATGACAGTGACAGTATTTAAAATTCCTCAAGATCAAGCATCAATAGGTAATATTTCATATTCATGTATTTATTATTTTGCCCCATGTTTGATGGTTTCAATCTTTGATGCTTAGTAGTTAGTATCTTCTTTCTTCAGTGTAGCACCTATTATTTGAACTTTCTATTTTACCATTTGATTCGGGCTAAAAGTATTTATATTCATCTTAGACAATGCAATGATGATAGTTGTTTGGTTATTAATCCTTCGTCTAACTCAAATATCACATCTGCATTATGATCTGTTGAGCTCATTACCATTAAAATAGTGTTTCAAGGATTTGAGAAGAAAGACTGAAAACTAAAGATTATTGGGTTAATTGAACCCAAATTGACAGATAATCACATGAACATATGACTAAATTCTAGTAAATTGTTTCTTCAGAAAAAGAAAAAGAAATGGTAAACTGTTTCTTGTTAGTAGAAGCCCAGTACAGAACAAAACACAAGAACAAGATACTGACAATCTTCAGAAAGTAAAATTCACTTGAACAACAATTACAAGAGATGATCTGACTAATTCCATATCTGGGCAACAAGTTTCCAAGGACAATAAAACCAAACTAACGAAGCAAAAAGTAAAATTGTAAAAAGCAGTTGTAACTACTCACCGGCCTTCCAAATTTAGACAACTCTGCAACTTTAGCTCTCTGCTGACCAGGAGATCCTAAATATTAAAAAGAAGTGGTGAAGTTGTACATAAATGAAAATGAAATAGCTAGAAACATTTAATCATGTTACATAAAAAACCATAGAAATATTGGGCCAGGATTAAATGAAACTTCTCAATGGATTAAGCAAACCAATAAAGGTTTTGAGTTTTAGATATATCTATTATTCATTCAGTGAAGCATAGAACACAGACAGAATTGATGAATGATTATCTTAGGCTTTAACTCCTCATTCATAATATCATTAGAAGGGATTATAATCTTTGGCTAGCATATATTCATGAAGGCTAATGGATAGATACATACAGATTATCATGCAATTAAGGGTTTGAACTCGAAACTCTGTGGTTCTTCCCCATCTTCCACAATTGAACCAAAAAACATTACTGCTATAATATTTTTTCGTGCAGACACACACAAAGACGCAGACACAATGGCTGACTAAGCATATTTAATGAGTGGTTGTTTCACTAATAAATTTTCTACCATGTGTTGGATAGTTTATGAATTTAGAGGAATTACCTGCAAAAATAACAAGACCATCAGAAGCCACTCTTGCCAATTCTGGAAGAGTCCTGTTCAGGTACTTCTGAGACAGGTAATCCAGTGCATCTGACACAATGACCAGAGAAAAAGACTTTGATCTGTAGGGAAGAGGGAACTTAATATCAGCTACACGGACAATGCCTTTGCGAATAGAATTCTTGCAGTTTGCATCTGCATCCTCTATATCGTACGGTTCAACACCCCATGCTTCAGTTTCTTCTTCTTTCAACAGCTGAGAGACCACTGAACAAGTATCAGGGCCCACATGCAAAACTTTGCGCATGCTGTCCCCATATGCTTTCTTTAGAATGGATATGGCTCTCTGAACTTCTAATGTACACGAAAAGTCACCTAAAATAAAATGAAGTCCAACTACTATCAGAACTAATTTCAAACAAATGCACGACCAAAATATTGCTTTACTTGCAGTTGTTTAAACCCAGCACAGCAATGGCCACAAATGTGGCTCTGACTAGTGCATGAAAGCATTTTTCTTCTTTGATTAAAAAGAATAGAGAGAGAACCAGAAATTTTATAAAGCATCCAAAGCAACTCCACTGACACACATCACAAATTCTCAAAAACCTGAGAATAGTAATCTTAAATTGTATGTTATACAGGGTGAGATGATTTTCAATTTTGGGTAAGCACATCCAGTCATTTACCATATTCTATCATTTCCACTTTCCCTCAAACCAGAAAACAATCATACAAGTTTCTTTCTAATGGTTTGGACGATTGAACAAAAAAAAAAAGGCACCTTAGCAGTTTCTTAGAATTGACATCTTTTGATGTTATACAGTAATTTCCATCATATGTTCATAACACTTGCTACATAAATGAGAACTCCGATTTCATTAGTCACCAACATTTGAAAATACATTACGGATGAAATCCAGATTATCTAACATGTTAAGTAGTTTACTGCAGATCTTCTGTTCCACATCTTCACTAATTAGATGTTTACCAAAGTTAGGTATGCTAAACAAGCAAAATTGCAATTGCCTGACTTCAGTTTCAAGGTCATAGTCCCTTATCCCTATTTATATAAACATCTCCGAGTCCTTTCAAAACTTCCTTATGAAAGCAATTGCAAATATTAAATAAATAAATATAAAAAAGCAAACTTCAGGAAGAATTAAAGGAAATTTACCTTCAACCTTACTTAAAGCCTCTTTGTTGCCTCCAAATATACCTGGATTTCAAAAGATTAGCAATTTAATCAATAGATCTCATACACAAGTTCAATCTATCCAATTCAAATTACATATTATTAGCAAAATCTAAAATCTAAAAATAAAGAAAAGCAGGAGAACTATCACATTGAGCATCATTAATAGAAAAGAAACGAAGACGAACCATGACCACTGTAAGCATAGGCAATAAGAAGGATTGCGCCAAGAAGGATAAGAGCAACGGATAATAAAGGCGAAGAACGCGATTTAGAATGTAATGCTCCAGCAAATGGCAAGCTTCCGGTGTCAACAAACCGTCGAGTGGAGCTCACTTGCCTTCTTGACATGATTGATCTAAACTAATATTATAACTACAGTTAGTATGTAGTGAGTTTAGCACTGAGCTTGTAACACCAAAAAAGTTCAACTAGCTCAGCTCACAAGAAATTGAATTCTTTAGTAAATCAAAAACATGAAATTAGACATTCGCGTTGACAGAAAACTCCAGCAGATAGAGAGATAGATCAGGAAGAGAAAATGAGGCAAACAAAATTCGAAAGAAGAGTAGAAAACTCTACCTTTAGATCGAGAATGAAATGGAAATAAGAAAATATCTGGAATTGAGTTGGACTTGGATCTTAGATCTGTGCTTTTAGTTTGTTTGAGCTGTTCTGGGTAAAAAGTGGAAGGTGAAGGTCTACTACTCTTTAGTGGAGAGCAGAGCAAATGAAACGGTGTTGGAATTAAGGTTAAAGACTATAAATTAACAGTCTTACAAGCATACAGCCTGATGATTATGGAACAAGCGCGTCGAATGTGTCGGCGGTTCAAAAACCTGTGCACGACGCCGTTTTTGGCATTCTCCAAACCAATTATGTGCTACTAGCGTGGAGTATTTTATTCGGACATCCGTTTTCAATTTCTTTATAACAAGTCAAAACCAGGGAAATTTTTATTCACTTCAAAATAATTTCAATAAAAATAAACAAAAGAAAAACCTAATGCATATAGAGAATTTGCTTCTGAAAGTAATTTCTTCTTAGAAATTCCAAAAAAAAAAAAAGTAATTTCTCTCTTTAAAATATTATATTACTATTTCTTTTATTGTTAAAAAACCCCAAATTTGTTTTCAAACTGTGCTACCAAAATAACGAAACAAATGTATAATATGTAAGCTAACCAAAATGAAAGCCTAACTGTATCTCAAAATCTCCATAAACATGTCTATCCATGCCCAAGGAGAAATAAATAGCTAGTAAAACAGGATTCAAAACTTCTACTTTCTACTCCCCTCATTCAGGGCAGAACAAACTCATTCCTTTTCAACAATGCTGGGGATCTAACGCCCATTCTCCCTTCATTTCCAAGAGAATTCCCACGAGTTACAACTCGCCATGGCCAAACAGAAGAGAGGAGAGAATCAGAATTTTGCATTTTATCAGTCTGAGATACTAATGTTCCTGATCATGTAGCTTCTGCAGCAGTATATACACATCTGCAACCATTATTTTTCTTCAAAGCTCCTCTATTTCATCTCAGAATGATTGACCGAGCCTCATTCTTGCATCTAAATCTTTCACAACCTTCACAGGCTTCAGCAATTTCTATCTTCCTTCAAGGATACATTTCTATCTTATGAGGCTGTATGCTACAAGAGAACAAAGATTTAGCAAGAAGCATTCCTCAATATGTATATGCCCTCAAACCTTTCATCAGGCTTCCACGTTCTTCAAACAAGAACAAAGATAACTAGACCATACATGTTTGTTACTGTTGGACTGCCACACCAGCATCATCTGTATGTGAAGGTCTCCATTTTCTATCAAAGAAACCCCTTTCCACTACATTCTGGGTCTTCAATGTCTCATCTTGCGTCTTCAGCCTTTCATCAATGAGTTCCAGCAATTCTTGCAAGCCAACTCCAGTTATGGCTGATATTTTCAGATGGGGACCATGCTGAGCTTGGGGTTGCAAATCTTTTTCTATTCCCGAGTCATTTAACGTCTCACCTTGTTGGTCATCCAGACTCTTCAACCATTGGTCATTCACCATCTCTTGGTCATTTTCTGACAACAGCCAGCCATCAGAGTAATCACCTTGGTCTTCATCTATGATCTCTTCAATATCCCCTTCACCATCTTTTACTCCTGAAGAAATATTGGCTTTGTCATCTTTTGCTTCTGATGATATCTCAGATGCATTATCATCTTCATCAGTGGACCAGCTGCTAGCATCTAGAGATTCATCAGCACCCATTTCCTCCTCTTCATAATCAATCTGAATAATAAATAAAATTAGGAAATATTGCAATATTCTTGTTTATTTTATGTTCCATCTCTGGTAATTCTTTTAACTGAGATGAGAAAGGAAAGAGTTCATTGTAGCACCTTATTCCAGACTTCAATCATACTCTGAAGCTTCTCTTCTGAAACTCCTATTTGCTGAAGAACTTGCAACACAGTCGTGCGATGTTCATCAAGATTAGGAGCAGTGCAGTCTATTACGTGCTGCACCAGGATTAGCCAATGGTTTAGAAACATAATTTCCTTGAAAACCTTTAGAAATGGTAAGCCAAATAAAATCATTTGCCATAAAAGGAAAACATTTAAGCAGCAGCATTATCTCAAGCCATTCACTGGACAGGACAAAAAATAACAGAGAGATTAATTCTAGAAATGACAGTTGATATCAACTTTCAGAAGAAGAACATATGCATTATGTTCTTGGGTCACTGTCACTAGCAAGGCTTGAATAAAATATGAAGAAATGTACTTTCATGTCTCATCATTCATCATATTTCTGTTTCTTTAATACACTATTTATAAATGTTTTGTATATGTATGGGTCCCTCCCCAGTTCTATTTCACAATAACCTTAACTGAAGGAGTACCAAACTTTTTAATCGACCAAATGCAAAATGAGGAGGGACCATAACAAATGAACAGGCCCTACCCCTGGAAAAACAACAAAACATCCACCAGTAAATTCAAATGTGCAGGAAGCCTAACTTACCAGTAGAAGGTCTGCTTCCACTACTTCTTCCAAGGTTGCATGAAATGCTTTCACTAACTATGGAAATAAATTAACAATAAATAAATGTGATCAACCATCAATGTGAATACAAAACATAAAGAAAGCAACTGCATATACTTGTCAGTTACCTGCACAGGCAAATCTGATATAAATCCTACAGTATCACTAAGAAGCACTTTCCTCCTGAGTATTATTAAATGTTAATTCCACAGAGGTACATTCAAGAAAAAGAGTCCTATAATATGACAGGATAGCTAGGTAAATAAATAAACATCAGTAAAAATAATTTACCCTGAAGGAAGAATAACACTTTTCAATCTTGGATCCAATGTTGCAAACAATCTGCACAAACCAGAACTCCAACTAAGCATTTAAGGAGAAATTGATATACTGCAATATCAAAGGTGTCTTTAATAGGAAGTCCAAATCTACATCAGTTGCTTCAGAGATAGAAGTACCGAGAATCACTGTAAAGATCACTCTCTGAGAGTGCACTAACCAGTGTAGACTTTCCCTGCAAAAGAAAATCATGATTAAGAATGTGCAGTTTAATTCTAACAGCAATTTTGTTCAGATTTTTTGATCACCTACAGCATTTGTGTATCCTACAACAGCAACAGTGGCTAGAGCTTTATTGTCTAAACCACCGTGCCTCTTGCGAGCAACACGTTGCAAAGCTCGAGTACGTCGAACCTCTTCAATTTGAGATAACAAATGGTTGCGCCTCTCTAATATTCTGAGGTTAGAGATCCAAACAAACACATCAATATACAAGTCGAGTAAACTGTATGCTGCAGACACACTGACAGAGCACTAAAAAGAGTATCTAATTTATGACTCATCACTAAGATAAATATAACATGAGTCATGATTTAAATAATGAAATCTAAGAATCCAACAAATGAATTTATCCAATAACCCTGGAAGCAAGTATCTACTCTACCCATCAAAAATTTGGTAGAAGATGATATCTTCAGTTCAATCGTCCTTGTTGACTATCTTCATTAAAAATAAAAGAGAAAGTAAAGAGAAATCAATAACAGAAATGCTCCCCATATAATTTTTCATGTCAAGAAAAATTGGACCCTTCAGTCTATTGCACAAACAATATGATGTAGCATAGAGTAGGGACACCTAATGGACTGGAAGGATCATATGTTCAATCTACCAAGCTGATAAAAGAAGAAAAGGATCAGATGATAATCTGACATAATGAACTACTTTGACAAAAAGGATCAGAAGTTCATTAAATTTAAGAATATGTCTGCAACCCATAAAAGGATATCGAATACACTATTAAAGTGCATATAAGTCTGGTATGAGCAAACAAAACAATGACAGAAACATTAAAAACTTAAATTTACCATGGTTCTTCAAACAGATTCTTCGGGGCTGCTCTAGTGGCAAAAAAAATAATAAATAATTATAACGCATGGATCAGGAATGCATTTCGCTACACCTTTTTTTCATTGTTGGTCCCAAAAACATCCCCATGAAACATTAATCCACCTACCCAAAAGATGTCTTTAAGAGGTTGCTTGTATCAATTTTTCACATTAACAGCGCATGGTGGACACTGAAAGAGTCACGCAGAAATACTCAGGATTTTGAACTTTCCCCGTATATGCACCTTTATAGACTTAACACTCGTATGGCAAGGTTAAACTCCAAGCTTAACTTACGCTAACAAGGTCATGCTGGTCAATATGTCTCTCAATAAATGGAATCTAGATCAAGAACCAAACCTTCGCCGTTGAAGTTGGAGTTCAGTTTCTCCAGCGCCACTGATAAAGCCACGTCCTCCACTTCCCCTCCTGAAAACAAGTCCCGTGCACATTTAAAAATGTTCCAAGAATAAATACTAACTGATCATGCAAACAAACATGTGAAAGCACACACAACCAAATGCAAAGAGAGAGTAGTCATGGAAATATCCAAGAAATCTAAGACTAAATGATAAGCCTACATAAAACCGAGAAGTTCAGACATGTTCAATTGAAATGGTTCCTAATCCATATCTGCCAAGAGATTAAGGCAATAACATGCTCACCCTCGGGCACTAACAACTTCAGCTTCGCCAGCTGTTCCAAAACCATAGCGTCCATCAGGGCCTCGTACACGAACAAGCCTACTCTTCTTATACATAAGAGCAGCCAATTCAGACTGCATAAAAATAAAATTTACACCAAAAGTATCACCGTCAAAACCCTATCACAAGACTAAATTAAAATTTAACCAAAAGGTGGAAAACATTATCACTAAGCTATCCACACTTCACAGTACCTGTAGCTTGGCCTCCTTTGTGTGGGCATGAGCATTAAAAATCTCTATTATAAGGCCAACCCGGTCCAACACGGGCTTTCCCCATGCACGCTGCATTGGTGAAGTAAAAGAAATGGCATCTCATAATGTATTCGCATTCTAAATTTGAAGTCAGAATTCGAAAGCTTACCTCCAAATTTCGTTGCTGAATCCCACTAAGAATAGAATTTACGAACACCGCGTCTACTTCACCCTATTAAAATCAATAAATTAAATTATTAAAAGCACACAAAAGAACTGCCAATCTAAACAATAATAACAATGATGAAAAAGTTGATCCTTCTTGCCTTAGACTCTGAAGCATTTATATGGCACTTAATGGTGTCCACTGTTCCTGGCCCAAAATATGTGTCTGTACATAACACCAAAAAAGCATCAACAGACAAATAACAAAAAAAAAATTATCAGGAAAAGAACACGAAACGAGATTGAGTAATTGACCTGCGCGAGCTCTGGAGGATCGAAGAATTGGGTTTTGAACGACGATATAAGGAGGCAAGGCCTTATCGAAGAAATCGGAATCAAAGAAGCCATCGCGTTGCTCCTCCAAGGAATTGGCGAGGCAGAGCGCCTCGTTGAGCTTGGCTTGGAGAAAATTATCGGGACGGAGGCGAGGCTGGACCACGAAGAGGCGAGGTGGGCTTGTTGGGTCTCTGTTGTAGAGCGATACGACACTGTAATTGTCCTTGTCCTTCTCCTCCTTTGAGGAATATGGAGAAGAGATAATTGAAATTGGAGGCAGAATTCGGGATTCAGGTTGGGACTGGTTTATGGCTATTAGGGTTTGGGTTAGGGACTTGACGCGAGACTTGAATGATGATAGAGCCAACATTATTATTGTTTTTTTTTTAGCAGTCACTGGTTTGCGAGTAAAAATGGAGCGCTTCGGCTCAGTCGAAGTGAGAAAGAGACGAGGGAGTTTCGTGGATTTGAACGACAACGAATTGCGCAAAAGAATAGGGTAAACCAGAGGAGAAAATTTTCCTTCGTATACGGCAGAGATACTCTCTCTGTCGTTTTACTTTTGATGAAAAAACCAACTGAGTTTTGTTTCAGCAACAAGACATTTCATCATTTTCCCCTGAACTTTTCGAACAGTTTGCAATTTCACCCTAAATTAACACTCTTATCCTAGTTACCGTTTGTATATTGATCTCCCTAAATTTGTTAATCTAATTACAATTACACCTAATTGGTTTTTACAATTTTGATTAAAATAATATAAAAGCATGACTCCATAAAAGCAAATACAACATAAACCATATGAATTTGAAGATCTCAACAAGTACTGTAACCCAATTATTTTAGCAATGAAACCCGAATTCAAATAACAAACTAGAAATGCAATATTGGACTTTTAATTTTAAAATTAAACTGAGCTTCAGTTATTTGTTTTTTTACATTATTTTAATCATAATCCTAACTTCAATTTGCTAGAGAATTATTTTGTATTATAATTTGTAAAATTCCCTTTTGTCAATATGATAAGTTCCATAATTTGTTCATCACTTTAACAACACCGTATTAGACCTTTAATTTTTGCAAAGTGATGTTAGAAAATGAGTACAAGCATTCCTATCCTATGGAGATCAAGACACATTCTATGTATTTTGGTTTAGATTTATTGAGTTTATTTTAATATACAATATTGTTGGTTGCAAAAATAATTTTAGAATAATATTGGTTGACTAACGGTTTGGAGACACTTAATGGATATAGTAAGTATTAAATATACGACTTAAACTATAAAAATACTCTAAATTTTTAGTCATTAGTCTCTCGCCTTTTTGTCGTCCCTTTTGTCAAGATTATTTTCACTTTGTGGACATGTTAGGTATTAAATATATGGCTTGAAGTTCTTTGGAGATTGATCAGAAATTTAAAGACGGTGTACATCTTCTTGTTTACAGTGGTACTTCGTTTTACAACAATAAAAAAGAAAGCAGGGTACGATGAAACACTGTCGAGGAGCAAAGGAGAATCTGAATAGTAATTTCGCTTCCTTTTTTGCTATTGTCGAGAAGAAATTAACAAATTCTATTTGTAATAAGGAAACAGGAGAGCTCTAAACTGAAATGGAATGGTTTTATTTGAAATGGTAGTTTAATTAACACCCTGCTTGTCATCTCCTAAATTAAAAACCAAAAACTACTATGAAAAAAAAAAAAAAAAACTACTATGAAAAAAAAAAAAAAAAAAAGACTACTATATATTGCTACAAAAAAAAAAAAAAAAAAGACTTATATATTGATACTAAAAAATTTATTTATTTATATAATTATAGAGATTAGTAGTTTAATTCAATCCAATATCCAACAAATAATGAAATAATAATAGAAGGGAAAGTTCGGGTTGGAGGCCCCGCTGCTGATCTAATCACCGGATATAAAGTATGCATCTTTAATTTATGCGAACAGCATATATTATACATGCATGAAAATGGAATAATATCCCATTTCCTAATTGATAAAATTGCTTTTACACTCTCTTTTATTCCAGATATTTTTAATTTGATACAAGGATATTAGTCTGTAACATAATTTATTTTCATTTCCGAATCTTTTAATTTGAATATTTTAATAAAAAACATATAAACAATATTATCATATGTCGTTGAATAAGCAATGATGAACTGCATCTCTATACATGTTTCAGCTGCAAGATAACTTATCTGTCTATTTTATTTTAAATATTTTAGCTGAATGAATTATTTAATTGTTGTGTATTTGATACGAAAAGTTGATAAAGCAAATATTCCAGAAGTATTGGAATCTGATTTTTCATAGTGGCCTTGTCGAACAAGTTCAATCTTTTGCATGACGCACCTAACTCTTCACTTTGCTTTAAATTAACGACATTAAGTGAATTCTAATCTTCCTCTAATCACCTACACATATAATAAAAAGCTTGCACACAAACAGAAAGAAAATACAAGAAAATTGCTAAAAAATTGAATGGCAGTAGACTACCGATGCTGTGAAACAGGTTTCTTTATACACATTGCTGTTGTTACTTTTCTGGTGTTGTTTGCAGGGTTAATGTCTGGACTCACCTTAGGACTCATGTCGATGAGTCTTGTTGATCTTGAAGTTCTTGCCAAATCTGGAACGCCAAGTGACCGTAAACACGCAAGTAAGTCAATTCTTTTTTCATTTCCGTTTAATTTATATATATATATATGAACTCTAACTTTTCTTTAATATGACGATCTTTTGCTAATGTTTCTTGAACAGCAAAAATATTGCCAGTAGTGAAAAGACAACATCTGCTTCTGTGTACCTTATTAATCTGTAATGCTGCTGCTATGGAGGTATCTTTTAACTTTTTTTTCATTTATGTATAATTTAGCTTTTTTTTGCGAGAATTTAGAATAATTTATATATTTTTTTCATATTATGTATAATTAGGCTTTTTTTTGCGAGAATTAGAATAATTTATATATATATATATATATATAATTATAGTATATATACCTCTCATATTGGCAGGGCAGCTACCCATTTTCTTGGATATTTTGGGTACACAGCCTGGGTGCTGTTCTTATTTCTGGTGACCTTGATACTGATGATTCGGGTGAGGTTAGATATATTGGCAGGCACTACCCATTTTCTTGGATAGTTTGGTAACAGCTTGGGGTGCTGTTCTTATTTCTGTGACCTTGATACTGTTATTCGGTGAGGTTAGTTTTTCATGTTCATGACAACAAAATTAATTAATGGGTATTCTTTTTCTTTTTTTTAAGTGAATTTCAAATAAAAAGAAAATGTTCTACATATTTATATTTTTTTGAGTTTTGAAGCACAGATTATTCCTCAAGCTGTTTGTTCCCGATATGGGTTGGCAATTGGTGCAGCAGTGGCTCCAATTGTGCAAGTTCTGGTTTGGATTTGTTTTCCTCTTGCATATCCAATAAGCAAGGTGATAATTAATTAATTAATATTCTTTCAATTTTCAAAAAATATGAATTTTCTAGTTCATGTTCAAGCTCAAGAGACGATTAGTAGTGACTTTTGATTGAAATTTCACTAGTTACTGGATTATTTGCTTGGAGAAGGACATGATGCTCTTTTTCGCAGAGCTGAGTTGAAAACACTCGTAGATTTCCATGGTAATGAGGTATGTAACGCTAAATGATACTATTATGGATGAGCGATTCTCAATTATCGAATCAAATCGATTCAATTCAATCAGATTTGAATAATTGTTTTAGAAATTTAGTTACTGATCAATTTGAATATATAAAACCATTAGTTTCAATTCAGTTACCAATCGATTTTAGAAGTTAAGACCGCATTAAGCTATACATTCTCACGCAGACATACTTTTTGGCAACTTTTAAGAATCTTAAAACCTTGTTGATTATGAATATGCAGGCTGGAAAAGGAGGAGAATTGACACGAGATGAAACGACAATTATTGCAGGAGCACTTGAACTCACTGAGAAAACAGCGAAAGATGCAATGACACCCATATCTGAAACTTTTTCTGTTGACATGAACGCTAAACTTGACAGGTTTTTCCTCAAGAAAAATAAAAGAGAGAAAATTAATTATGTATTAAGATACATTATTTTTTATTTTAACTTGCATAATTGTGAATTTGTTATATGCAGTGCTTTAATGAAGCTAATTTTAGAGGAAGGTCACAGTAGAGTACCAGTTTATCATGAGCATCCGAAAAACATAATTGGACTTATATTGGTAATTTGTTGTCAAGTAATCATGATTAGTTGCTTTTACTCTTTAAGTGATTTATATATTAATATCTAAGCAAATTTCAGGTGAAGAACTTGCTAACCATTCATCCAGAAGATGAGATTCCAGTAAAGAATGTTACTATCCGCAAAATCCCAAGGTATAAAATGGCATATATAAAATGAAATGCAGAACCTTAGTTCATCTGATGAAAACAGTCTCACTTACATGGCAGGGTTTCAGAGAGAATGCCTCTTTATGAAATACTAAATGAGTTTCAGAAAGGGCATAGCCATATGGCTGTTGTCATAAAAAAACACAATGACAAGGAGCAATCCACAGGCGATAGCATCTTTAATGGTAGAGATGTGAAAGTGGACATTGATGGTCAACAAAAGAAAAGTTTAAAGAGCAACAACAGATCATTCAAGAAGCTAAAGAGTGAAACAAATATACAAAGGGTTAACTCCTCTAAGAACAAAAAATGGGCAAATGGGGTCCACTCAGAAGTCTTACATATAGATGAGGTCCCTCTCCCAAGGTTTACTGAAGAAGGAGAGGCCATTGGCATAATAACACTGGAAGATGTAATTGAAGAACTTTTACAAGTATGTGAATTTTTCACTTTTACTTTTCTTTTTTCATAGATTTGTTTACACAACAAAGATTTCACACCCCACTGATTCTGCTAAACATATAGGAGGAGATCTTTGATGAGACGGATTATCGTGATGGGCATCAGTAATTCCCTAACCACAGTAAAGGAGTTTATTCTTTATCCAAGAGCTGAAACATTTACAAGCTCAACCAGCAGAAGCTAGATTCAGATGCATAATGACAATAGATACATGTACTGTACTTGAGAAGTGAATGCAAAACAACATTTTGAGTAATCTTTGACATTTATATATATAAGATTTTTCCCAGGATAATTCATTACAAAATTTGTTGGATCAATGTCGAACTCTCTCAATACAATAATATTTCAGTGTCTACAGGTGTTGTAACAACAACGATACAGCCATTATAAGAATTGCCTATTCTAAAAATTTCAACACAATTAATCCAGATAAATATTTCAAATACAGTATGATAATTGAAAATCTTAAGAAATGATCCTGCCAATTTGGAGTTGAGTTTAAAAAAAAAAAAAAAAAAAAGCTACTTTTTATAATGTATTACTCCATCTTTCTACTTTGATAGCAACATTTCGTTTTTTTACAAGAATTAAGAAGATGATTGGAACACGTTAGTTTTCTAAAAATATGTAGTAAAATATCTAAATTTCCCTTCTTTAAATTAAAAACTCCCCATTTAATTTTATATATTAATTTTATCTTATATTAAAGAATCAACATTAGAGTAGTACTTCCATTTCATTTTTTAAAAAAAAAAAAAAAAGCCTATGCAGCGTCTCGATAAAGCAAAAGGAAACAAAAATGAACATTTACCTTTTGTTTGAGCAACGGAAGGCAGTCATGAATTCATAATGGTTGCTTTCAACTTTTGGCAATGCAGTAACATCCTTGACTTCATGTTTCAGCTTTAAAATATAGTGACCAGTTGCAGCCTGCATTTGACTTCCGGGAGAAAAATTAACTATAGATCTCGCAAAAGCGACTCGATTGTACTAGAAAGTTCTTTAAAAGAAAAAAAAACCAATGATAATACACCTGTATGTTACCTTTTCTTTCCTTTCCATTTCAAAACAAAGAGAAGGCACTACATTTTGCAAAAAGACCAGCTTATTTTACTAATTTACTAGAAAATGAGAAACATATAACAATCTCAGGACCAAACTTCCAGGCAAAGAAGTTGAACAAACAAAATGGTTAATATGTCTGCCCCATCACTGAAGCTGAACCAGTACATCAAAGAAGCAACTATTTGGTGTGTGTGATGGGAATTAGAGAAAATGTGAGTACTTAAATAGTAGGACCGGAAAGTAGGGGTATTAATGAAAAGGCACTAGACTTAGCGCTCAAACATGATGACTTTTACTAGGGAGTCCCTTCCAATTATTGTAATCCCATTAATCTCTCTGATGTGAAAAACCACTAAACCATAGGATCTCTTGGTAGGCTAAAAGTGGTACCAAGATAGAATCTGCTTGATTTGAAAATTTTAAGCACCTTAAATCACTCAGCAAGTCGATAACTATCCAAAAACCACATTACCAGAATGGCTTGTTATCCAATCAAACTAATTTCCACTAGAATTGTGAAATGGGTGTGATCATACTGAGGCCTAATTTCATCTTTAAGCTCATAAAGTAAGGGGAATTTAATGGTCACCTCACTCTGCTACAGAAAAAAAAAAATCATTTTATTCCTCAAATAGTGACATTGAATTAAGCCATAAGAGTTGGTTTCCCATTGCTATATCTAATGAAGTGCAAATTTGAGATAAAGAATGAATATAATCTATGAACTCCTTGAAAACTGCAGAACTACTGCTTTCTATTGTCCAGAGAATTTGGTAAGTTGGATCACTCGAACAAACTAAATTTGTATAAAACATCTAGCTGAAACACTTTCAGGTATCTACAGAGCAACTGATTCATAAATACTTGAGTATGACATTAAAAAAATCTTAACACTAGGCAAAATCTTAACACTAGGCATAGCTACATTTGCTTGTAAAAGTTTACTCTGCACTCAAGCTAAAGCAAACTTATTTCAGTACCTTTACATCTCAAATTTCAGTTAGATTTTCTTCAAAATTAAGCATCTAATATGTAAATTTTTACGTTTCAACTTTAATCATACATTGTCAGACAAAGAAAAATGTCTCATTCAGTCAGTATATTTGCAGCAATTTAAAATCAGATGGTCAATGTAGGTAAGCTTTAAACATATTCAAGTTGTTCCATGACAGCAAAGATATCACAAAATTCACAAGAATAAAGGGCAGAATACAGAAAGAATAAGGAACCTATATTATTGCTTTTGCATCACAAAATGCTCCACTGAGATCATTTATAGCTATGACGTTGAGGCATTACGCAATCCAAGAGATGCAATTTATAAACAAGTGTCATGTATGTGCCCCTTTTAATTGTAGTAATGTTCTTCACCGGCTGCAGAAACAAAAGCATCATAAACTAATCATGTTGTGGAATTGATAGCTTAATTGATGTAAGCAAGAATTTACATCCAGAATTGGTAGTGTTACTTTCACAAGTAAACTAACAAATAATAACGTCTCAAGTTAAAAGATTTGGCAAAAGAAAGATGGAGCAAATTCACAATATTTAGAATTTAAAAAGAACTACAGCTTTCACTTTTCACGCATTGAAGCAGAAACGAATAAGCCATTCAGTATCCATTATATCAAAAGGTTAATTTCATAGCAACAGTATTTGAGACAGTACCCATAACATTTTTTCACATCGACTTGCTTAATTAATATGCAGAGTTTTGGAAGCAGCTGTCCAATAAATTTGGGATGAAATGTGCACTTGACGTCTTTCACTGATCTTGTATGGAGTGCATCCAAATGTCTCACTTCTTCTAACAGCCTGGGAGAAAAGGAAGAACCCTCAAGAACTCATTAACCTAATCACATTATCAGCTGCAGCCAGGAAGACTATTAGAAAAGGCACAAACCAAAGGCATACAAAATAAGGCAAGAAGTATACTTAATAAATGAAGCAACTCCATGTCTGATTGGCGCTTGCGCATGCACCTGCAGGAACCAATCTCATCCAAACAAACTAGATGGATTACATCCCGTTATTAGAACTAAATGGTAGCTCTACTACGGACTCCACCCCACTGGCGTCTACGAGTCCTCCTTTTTCTGCCATCCTTCTTTGCCTTGACCTTTTCTTTTAAATCCCTCTCCCCTCGCCGTTTATACATTTTGAAACTGGTCTGTCTATCTGCAGCCATCTTTCTCACCTTCTCTGTGATCTCTGCTGCAAACTGTCTGTTATACAATTTCCTTAAACCTCGCATGAGCTTAGCAAAAGTTTCTGGCTTTGGCATTACATCTGCGTCCATCATGTCTAAACAGTATGAACAAGCCTCTTTCACATGCCCATTGGAGAACAGCGCATGAATCCAAATTGTCCAAGCATCCGTATTAAGCTCACATCCTTTGGTCAAAATACAACTCCAAACATCTTTAGCCATTTCAAGCTTCTGACCTCTTAGCAGAGAATTCAACAACTCCTTCAGTATACCATATTGAGGAGCAGATACAAGGCCTCTCCCAGTCATTTCTTTGAAATACAAACAAGCGTCAACTAAACCTCCTTGCTTAAGAAACCCATGAATCATGATAACGAAAGTGTCAAGCCCTGGACTAAAACCATTTGCTTCCATTTCATTCCAAACTCGAACACCCTCATTCACCTCCCCCAGCTTGCAAGCCAACCTAATCACCACATTGTATATACTGAGATCAGGGACACAGCCAACCTTTTGCATCTTTCCCATTAATTCCATACAGTCTTCCAACTCTTCCTTTTTTTCATGAGCCAACATTACATGCAAGTAAGTCAACTGATTAGGCATATGCCCTTTCTCTATCATGTTATCCAAAATCTGATATCCCCTATTAATCTTACCCCACTTGCAAAACCCACTTATCAATGCAGTATAAGTAACAACATCTGCCTCACAACCATTCCTCTCCATCTCAACAAAAACTCGCATAGCCTCATCTGTCTTCTCTTGCCCACAAAGTGCCTGAATCAAAATAGTATAAGAATTTGCATTAGGCTCGCACCCCCTCCTCCTCATCTCCTTCAACAAATCAAAAGCATCTGTCATTTTCCTTGCCATGGAATATCCACTTAAAAGATTATTATACACCACAATATCCGGCTCATACCCAGCTTCCCGCATTTGTACTAATACATGTTTAGCCTCCATTAACTTTCCTTCTCTACACCAACCATACAACAAAGAAGTAAAATGTTTCAAGCTTGGCCTAAACCTCAGTTTCATATCTTCAAAAAGAGAAGCAGCCTGCTTAACAGTCCCATTCTTACACAATGCATCCAATAAACAACCAAATACATACTCGTCCGGCTCACATCCATATTTGGGCATCTCATCTAATACTTCAATTGCCTTCTCAACTAATCTAGCAGAAGCAAACCTCCTCATCAAAACAACAAATAATTCACTAGTTATCAACACACTGTTATCTTTCCTCATTTCCTCTAATAAGGCCCAAACTGCACCAAATTGTCTCATTTTACTAAAAATCTTAACCATAGCTTTATAAGTCTCATAACTATGCCTATAGCTAGGCTGCTTTGATGCCCAAACAAAAAACCGATATCCCAGATTTCCTGCATCACCGCAGCGATTTAATACCCGTTCAGTTAAACCTGGACGCATTACAATGCCAGATTCTTGCAAGGCAAGCTCTAATTTTGGAACCCTAGAATGAAAATTTCTAAGAATTCTGTATACCTTTTCGACATCTCTAGCAAAATCATCAGCTTTATTGCTTCCGTCAGCATCTTCAATGCCGTTGTTTTGAGTTCTGAGACAAACGACACCAAACCCGTTTGCGGTTTTGTTAGATAGGGAGTTCTCATTGATGGGTTCGTCACCTTTCTGGTATGGTTGTTTGTGGATAAGATTAAACGAGGAGATTGTTGGATTTGAGAAAAGTGAGAGACGGTACCAGTGTTTGTTGAGAAGAAAGTCTGTTTTCGAGGCAAGTCTCCGCATTTCTCCTCTGTGGTGTAATTGTGTCCCTCTCTGTCAAACCTTTGAAAAGTTCAGCTAACCAGCTTCAGTTCAATACTTGATTTCTGTTTCCTTCGGCCTGTTTTTCTATAGTTGCATTTTCTCGGAAAAGTGGGAAACGAAACTGTTCATTTGAATAAAACTGAAGTAATTTTTAAAAAAGTTTTAAAAAAAATTAAAAAAAAAAATGGGTTCAAATGGGTCAATCTTCTATTGAAAAAATGAAAAAAATAATTTTATAATTTTTCAAAATTTGATTAACATTTAAGTTATTTTTCAGAATTTTTCTTTATAAAAAAAAAAAACATATTTTTCAACTATTTTTCATATTTTTAAAATAATATTTTTCTAATTAAAATTAGCGAACTGTTCCAATTTGAAAATAACTGAAGTAATTTTTAGAAAAGTTTTTAAAAAAAATTAAAAAAACAAAGAACAATGGTTTCAAAGTGGGTCAGTATCTTCTATTTGAAAACTGAAAAAAATAATTTTATAATTTTTCAAAATTTGAGTTAATTTAGTTATTTTTTCAGGAATTTGTTCTTTATAATAAACAAAAAAGAAAGACATATTTTCAACTTATTTTTCAATATTTTTTAAGAATAATGATTTTTCTAATTAAATTATAATATTTATAACATAATTTTTTCTATAAATCTTTGTTTCATTCTGAAAAGAATGAAAAAAATATTTAAAGTAAAATACAATTTTGATATTTTGTTTTAATAAATAATTTAATTTTAAAGATATTTTTTAAGAAAAGTTTACAAATGATATTTTGTTTTAATAAATAATTAATTTTATATTTTTAAAAAATTTTACAATATGATAAAAAATGATATTTCAAAAATTTTTACATACAAAATTTGTAAATTCATTTTATAACATTTTATTCTTTTAATTATGATTGTGAATTTAAATTAAAATCTAATTTTTTATTATTATAAAGTCAACACATTTTCATTTTCTGTTTTTAATTTTATTTTCTAAGTATTTTATTAAAAAATATAAAATAGAAAATAGAAAACTGTTTTTTGGTAAGTAAATGCACGCTAGGAATCACGGTGGGAAAATCTAAAACTGTGCAGTTAAGTACCAAAGTTGTCGCTGTTTGTAGGTTTAAAAACGACAGATATCTTTGTCGTTTGATCTTCCCTATCTCTTTTAAAATACTATTGGTGTCGTGTTATTGCAAAACCTAAAGTGGCGATGTTGTCGTTTGTTGGCCAAACTCATGCCAGACTCCGTATAGCTGCTCGAAATGGCCAAAAGATCATTTCTTAGAAAGCACGTACAATTAAGCTTATAAGAGTAAAAAGAAGTCTTCGCTGATTTAAACATAAACAAATAACTGAAATGCGGTAGTTTTTGCTTCCTTTTATCAAATTTGATGCACACTTAGATTGATTGATGACCGTTTAGATTAGCAGTTCCAAATTACGATTTGACACTATTTTTAATTATCTTGTTGATCAAACATGTATTCATGGAAGGAAATTTAAAACAGTCTCTATTATTAGATACTACATATATTCAGCATTGCGCTATGATTTAGTATATAAATTTTTAGAAAATTTTTTTAGCATTTTTTTTATCAAAATATAAATTGTTTAAATTTTTTAAATGAGATTAAAAAAATAATTAATTCTTTTAAATTATAATAAAATCAAACGTAATTTAATTAAATTACCCTTTATTTCATAACTAAAAGGTAACATTCAAAAAATATCATTTATTACTTTTTAAAAATACTCAAAAATGAATTTATATTCTGAAACGAAACAATAACCTTAAAATGACTTATATTTGGGGATGGATGGAGTATATGATAGATAAAAGATTTCGTTTTTATAGCTACGGATACTTCTATTCTCCTTCTCTTTATTCTGGTTGTCATTACACACTCTCTCTCTCTATTTTTGCACTTTTCTTTATGTATATACCACGATTCTTTTCTATGCTAAGCACTTTTCCATCTTAGCTAAATGTAAATACTTTTTACAATATACTTTAAAATTTACACATGATTTATTGTATCCCTAAAATTAGGTATTTTGATGACATATACAGCTCTCAACAATAAAAACAAGAGTTATATTAATTTACAAATGGAAAACATAAAGAAAAAATAAGATTTTTCAAGGAGAGCGTAAGATGAGTTTATCCATTTACTTTTCATTATATAATGGAAGAGATGGTAGTTTAATGTCCGGCGCAACTAATGAGAAACTTCTCTTGTTACGAAAAGCCCGTAACTACCATAACTGAAACCGCCAAAAAACTACGTGAACACCCAGAACTCATCAAGCTTAACAACCAGTTAGCAAATATCACCCGCTCATCCCAATACAACGATGCACTTCATCTGTTCGACAAAATTCGTTCACCTCTCTACCAGCACCTCAAACCAGACCAGTATACGCTCTCCATAACGCTCACTGCTTGTGCCAATATACCTAACATCAAATTTGGCGACAAGCTCCACGCCCACGCCATTAAGTCCGGCCTCAGAAGCTTCCTTCATGTTGCAAATCCGCTCCTTTCTCTGTACGCGAAAGCGAAAGACATTGTCTCTGTCAAGTGGGTTTTTGATGAAATTGAGAACCCAGATGTGTATTCTTATACGACGCTGTTATCATCCAGTACCAAGATGGGGCATGTGGATTATGCCTGTGAGGTATTTGATAAAATGCCCAATAGGGATCTGGCAGTGTGGAATGCAATAATTACAGGGTGCATGGAAAGTGGGAACGAAGAGATTGGATTTAGTTTGTTCAAAGATATGTGTAGATTTGGTGTGAGGCATGATAATTATAGTTTTGCTAAAGTTCTAAGTGGGTGTGACTTGGCCATGGTGGATTTCGGGATGCAGGTGCATTCATTAGTGATTAAAACTGGATATATGATCAGAACTTCTGTTGTTAATGCTTTGATTACTATGTATTTTAAAAGTGAAAATATTCTGGATGCTTATTTGGTGTTCGCAGAAACAGAATATTTAGCGCATGATCAGATTACTTACAATGTGATGATTGATGGATTGTTGAGTATGGGGAAATTTGAAGAAGCCTTGATAATGTTTAGAAAAATGCTAGAGACTTGTCTTAGGCCTACAGAATTGACTTTTCTGAGTTTCATGAGCTCAATTTTATATACAGAAGTTGGGCATCAAATTCATGTCCAAGCCATCAAAATGGGTTTTGAAGGTCGTACTTCTTTCAGTAATGCAACTATAAGTATGTATTCAAGATGTGGGGATCTAAGTGCAGCTTACATGGTTTTCAAGCAACTGGAAAGGAAGGATCTTGTTTCATGGAATACAATGATTTCCAGCTATGCTCAAGTAAATTTGTCTAATTCAGCAATTTCGACCTATCTGGAAATGCAGAGAATAGGAATGGAACCTGATGAGTTTACTTTTGGAAGCTTATTGACTAGCTCAGAGCTTACAGAAACTGTTGAGATGATTCATGCCGTTTTATTAAGAAACAGTCTGATTTCAAATATACAAATTTCAAACGCTTTGGTTTCTGCATATTCCAAGCATGGGAATATGAAGCAGGCCTATCAAATATTCTGTGACGTGACTTACAGAAATTTGATCTCCTGGAATGCAATTATTTCTGGTTTCTTGTCAAATGGGCTGCCTATCCAAGGTTTAGAGCGATTCTCAGAGCTGCTCATGTTGGAATTCAGGCCGAATGAGTATACTCTCAGTATTATTCTAAGTATTTGTGCTGGCATTTCAGCTTTGAGACTAGGGAAACAGGTTCATGGTTATATTTTGAGCTTAGGATTCAGTTCAAAAGCTTCTCTAAGTAATGCCCTTATTACAATGTATGCCAAATGTGGACTTATAGATTGGTCTTCAAAGGTATTCAATGCAATGACTACAAGAGATTTAGTTTCATGGAATGCCTTAATATCAGCTTGTGCGCAGAATGGGAAAGGAAGCGAAGCTGTGTACTGGTTTGAGTCAATGCTATACCCATGTGGGGTAAAACCAGATGATGCAACCTTTAAAATCATTCTTTCCGCATGCAGTCATGCTGGCTTGGTCGATGATGGCATTCGGATTTTCAACTCAATGACTGATAAGTATGGTGTTGTTCCGGGAGTCGATCACTTTTCTTGCATTGTTGACCTTTTAGGCCGTGCTGGGTATTTCGATGAAGTTGAAAGAATAATAAAAAGTGAGCATTTTGAAGCTCATCCCAACATCTGGTGGACATTGTTAAGTGCTTGTGCAGCTCATGGTAATTTAAAGCTCGGAAGATTAGTTGCTGGATTTCTTCTTGAAATAGAACATGATAAGCCTTCAGTTTATGTTCTTTTATCAAATATGTATGCAGCTGCCGGTCAATGGGAAGAAGCAGCTAAGCTAAGGCACTTGATGGATAACACTAGGGCAATGAAGCAAACTGGGTACAGTTGGATCAGTCCATAAATATTTGGAAATCCTCATTTCTGGAGTTTCAGAGGTTTGGATAAAACAAAATTAACAGTCTAATCCAATAGCAGTTTATAGTTGATGCTTAATTATTCATATCAGTGGAAATAGAGTACATGATGAAGTCAGAATAAGCATCTTTAAGCCTTTACTTTGGTTTGTAAAACAAAAGCAAAATCGTTTTCTGGAGAATTGACTTTTTGAAGCCTATACTTACCATCACCTTTCAATATTAATCCCGCAGTTGCCATTCTCTAATTCCTGTCTGCTTCAGTGGAGAGGTATCAAGAATGATCATCCTTCAATCGTCTTGATACAATTTTCAGTTTCAAAAGGAAATGAGTATTTTGGTACCGACTCTTTATAACCAAAAGGTCCATAACATAATATATTATATTTAATTAAAGCAAATTACAAAAATGCCTGTCACTAAAAATCCAATAAAAAATTTAAATATTGATTAGTAATTAAACCTTTAAATCATAACAACCGTTATACTAATTAATGTAATAAATATTTGACTTAATTCTAGTAAATATTTTGTCAACTTTGAGGACATAATCCCTACGTATCCTAGATCTCCCAACCTCCCAAATTAAGTATTACAATGAAACAACTGTTTCTATTCATTAAATAACTAAGATCAATTACATAAATTATCCTTGCTTAGACCGAGTCCATGGTCCTGCTCATGGCCAAATTAATTAAAATAGAAATTTTTAAAAAATTGTTCACACTTTTTTTTTTCATGTGTATGGACCCGTCTATGTAAGTCAATCCAAAACTAAGAAATGAGAACTAGCACGTATGACGACAACGCCAAAGTTACCTTGACTTTTGAGTATCATCGGATGAATCTTTAACAGGAGGAGGTCTATATATTGCAGGAACAGTGGCAGGGAAGAACATTTGCCTCACTCCCTCTGCTCTTATAATAGGGAAAATAATACCTGATGCACCCTGCAAAAAGACAAGTCACTAAGTAAGAATTCAAGGATTTCAATTCTCTTTCTACTAATATCATTAAAGTGGTAGTGAGACATGGTAACGGATTGAGAAAAAAAAAAAATTTTTTTTCCTTCTTTTTTCTTGGGGGGTTATTTTGGCTCCAACGGGATTTTCAACTTACAAACCCACATCTTAAAGATGACTGAAATAAAATCATGACGATCATTTTATATGTGCTCAAATAATCAATCACAAAACAGATACTCACTGAAATTAGTCTAGCTCCAATCCATATGGCTTTAGGTGAAGGAAATGGAAGTAACAATCGACCAACCCCATATATTGCAACAGCAAAAAAATGGAGAACTAAGATCATTGGACGTGGATTTAGACCAGAGAGTAAAGATACAGGTCCTGATGAAAAAATACCCCCAAGGCTTAAATAGTCAAAGCATGCCTGACACATTTCCTTCCTTGCCTGATCAGGGGAAGCGGAGAATACCTTGTATAAGGCACCCGCCAAAGTATTTATAGTAGATGCCACAGGCTGCCAGAAACAACCATTAAATGCAATAAGTTGAAGATTAATAAGTCAAGCGTTTTACCTGTTCCATTGACATGCCGTTTATTCAGATCATGTGAAAGAATGTATCTTTAATTATAAAATTAAAGATATGTTCTTACCTTACGCAACGTGTAAAAGGATTCAAGATATTTGGTTAAGGAAGCTGCATCATTAAGGTCTGGTAGTGGCTTAAGAAGATCTCGAATTACAGCGATATCAGACAATGCAACTGTCATCCCACCACCAGTTAATGGATGACGCATATTGAAAGCATCACCCATTAGAAGGGCTCCGGGAGTAGGGTGAGGATCAGCTGGCATACTTCTATTTGGCATGGTCCTGATGTTACCTCTCTCTATTGCAGCTATGAAGGAATCATGAAGCGTGGGAGGAATCTAAAACAGACACGTAATTAGTTACCGCCGGTGCAAGTAAAAATGACAAAGAGGCAAAAGAAGTTTTGTTCAAACAAAAAGATATAATAGGGATGAAACAATATAAAAGTTGATATCAATCATATTTGCAGATACCTGTGGTGCTACCACATCCTTCAAATACTTGGCCATTTCACCATTAGCAATGGAAGGAACTTTTTGACCTGGCACGTCAACCAAACAGCGAATCTCTGTACTGCTTATTGGATAAAACAAAATAGGTGAAGGATCTCCTAGAATAACATGTCCATGATTTGCAAAAGGAAGCTGACAGTTCTCCAGAACTAAACCCACAAAGCAAGAAGGTACATCTACCTGTTAAAAAGAATATAAGAACTGATCTAAGTAAAGAAGGGAGCATCAAGAAAAGCAAATGTCAAACTGAGATCACAATTTCACTAATCAAACTAAACAAGACCAAAATCAAATTTCACAAACTGTGAGTAGTGATTTCACCTTAGGATTACATAGAGAATGACGTAGATTTGAGAAGCAACCATCGCAGACAATTGTAAGAGGAGCATAAGCTTTAAGTTCTTGACCATCCTTAGTTTTATATTGAACCCCCTTAATAGTGCCACTTTCTTCAAGTAGGGATGTTACTGTTCCTTGCTGCAATTGTACACTGGATAAAACATGAGAACAAAAAGCATACAAAGAAATGATAAATATCAATGAGTAAAACTCTAAAATGGAAAAATGAATGACAGTATGGAAAATCAAATCGCATAATTCTGAATTCATCACTACTGTATAATCAATAGAGTAATTAAGTAAAGAAAAACATACTTGGGGAGGGTAGCAGCTTTTTCTCTCATCCTCTGAATAAAACGCCCATTATAGAAGCTCCTCCCAGCAACATCAGAATGGAATTTTTCCAATGGATAAGACAATCTAGTATTTTTTCCATCCTTGAATAGAGCATAGCCAAGCACTCGCTGAGCATCTATTTCCTCCACACAATCTGCAGTTAAAGTGTGTATCTGTTAACTTTTACCCCGAAGCAAATACAAGAGAAATAGAGTGGTAAGTGTCCCAAATCCAGCTAATTTTGAACACTAAAATTTTTACTAATAACAATTCGAAATAACCTTGAAAATGTCACATCTCATAGTGATGATACAAATCTAAAAGATTTTTAGTATCTGCAAAGCATACCCTCAAGGCCTAATTCAATTAATTTTAGATATCCTCCTGGTTGAAGCAATTCACCGACAATTCTGTGAGGCTCTGTTAAGTCCCTTTCTATCACATGAACCCGTCTACCATCCTGCAAAATGTCAGAAAAATTAGTTAGAGGTCATTACTCAGGCCAAATGAAGTTTAGGTTCACAGGTTAATCATATGGAAACCAAAATAAGGTTCAAAACAAAAAGGGTAAATATCATATATGATTAACCAAGGATCGGTTAATGAACTGGAAATCCCTTGATTTGGTCTAAGACAAAAATCTATTCTTGCAAATCTATGTATAAAATTTCTCAAAATACTTTGATTTGCTAATGGTTATAAATTAAGACGAAGTACTTCCAATTTAATATATCAATATGTACTGAGAACTTGATAACAGAAAATACAATGGAGTTGGCATGAGGTCATTATAATCTGAACGCCTAAGTTTTTTGAAGGCATCAACTTATTAGCCAAAATGGTATCAACTTTTCATCAAAAGTTTGCCAACCCAGAAATTAAGAAAAGACACTTCCTTTCATTGAGATTGCTTCATCATGCATTTGGACTTGTATTATTACAACCATTTCAAAATCCGTGTCAAATTCTAAGTCCTAAAACGTAGAAAATCCCATGAAAACAAGGCTAAATAAAAAAGAAAGTTCTTTTTTTTTTTTTTTGTGTGTGTGTGTGTACAAAACCTTCCAATTAAATAAATATCTTTCGTTTTTTTTTTTTTTGGTAATTAAATATTTTTCAATATTACACTGAGCAATGGAGTTCAGTTCAATATATTTTCCCTTGCCATCAAAGAAATTATTAATTACAATCTTCAAACTAAATAAAATAGAGAATAATACAAAACAGAGAAAGAAAAGTAGATGTACCTTGCCAAGCGTATAAGCAAGAGCTGCACCTGCCACACCAGCGCCAACGATGATGACGTCACGACCGGAGCCATTCTCAGGCCGGCGCACATTATCATTTTGGGTGGTGGAGGTGGTGGTGGCGGTGGTTGTTATGTCCTTGCTCTTGTTCTTGTTCTTAAAATTTAAGCGCAAAATGCAGAGAAGAAAAAGGCCAAAAAGAGAGGCAAAGAAAGTCCCAAGAATGTACTTATCAATCACAACCGCAGCCATGGTTATATAGTGACCACCACAAAGAGGCGCATAAGCTGCTGAGGAAAGAATGAGTGATTCTTGGGAATCTTTCTTGGCCCCCAACGGAATGCAGCAGAATCTACGTGTATTTGAAGCGAGTCTGGTGGTGCCTGGTGGCGGTGAAGTGGCGATGCTAAGGGATTTTGTAGGAGCAGATGGCTTTTTATCGACTAAATTAAAAAGACGTGACCAATAAAGTTGTGGTCTTGGTGGCAGCTGGATTTAGACTATACTCATTTATTGCTTTTTTTTTTTTTATGTGAACATTGCATTAAGGCTTTTCTTGTCTCAAATTTATTTGCGTTAGGCTGATCTAAATTTCTAATTTTATCAATAATTTTTTTTATAAGCAAAAATTTCTTTTATTGTTAAAATATGAAAAAAAATTTAACACAACCAAGTATCTTAAACATTATCGGGCCTCTCCAATATACTCACCGTAACTCAGAAATGTTAACTCGATAAACATACATCAGCTTGAAGTCTCTTGTCGAGATAAGAAAAGAAAATAAAAACAATTGAATAAAATATCATATAGTCTTAATAGCAAAAATTAAATCCAAGCAATAAAGTACATTGTTGCATCTATATCTCTCTTAGCTAAGTTATCGGCAAAATGAATTTTTATCTCGATTCACATGATGAAATGAGATATTACTTATGAATTCTAACATCGCATCAAATTTATTAAAATGGTTTCACTACTTCTAAAGACATTTGTCTCTTTAAACTACCTAGTATATAGCATTTTTTGAATATAATTCAATAATTAAAAGGCAGTATTTAAAGTCTTAAATAAAGATACTTCTACTACTCTAAAGACCGCGAGTAGCTTTAAATAATAGAAATCTAGGAAACCATAACCTTATTAAATAGATTAACCAACCTAGACTACAACCTATTTTATCAAGCTCGGTAGGCTCGTATTCCAACCATGTAAATAAGATAATATAATTTTTTTTCATAATGTATAAATTCAACCTCTACTTTATCTAAAAAATTTTATGACACTCTCAATTTTGTGTTGATTTATTAAACATTTCAACTTATAAAATTATATTCGTTGAATAAATTAACTTGTTAAAATTGTTCTATTAAATACTCAAATTTATAAAAATAGATTCATTAAATATGTACTTGATAATCAAAAGTGTAAAGATTATTATTTCAAAAATTATATTAATCACATATCAAGTGAATATTTTACATATGAATACTAAAAACATATAAAAAAATTATTATTATTAGTACGGAAAAGGGTACAATATTATCAAAATTTACAATTATAAATATAATAGGTTTCTCCCAAAGTTTAAGGTACCGCGTGAATTTTTTAGTAAATGCGAGGATAAATTTATGTATTAGTCATTAAAATTTATAAAAAACCAAATTTAAATGTTATTTTTTTAATTTGAATATATATTTAATGAACTGAATCGAGTAAAATTAAGTTCAATCCAACTTATTTACAGTGTCCTGCTAGTGCTATGCAAATTATGTTTGGGTGAAAATAGAGAATTTTGAGCGAGGAAAGTTAGAATGGCTTGTAAATTAGTAGTTGGGAAGAAAAGATGTTACCTAAAATTAGCTATTATATTAGTTATTAACAATCAAATGATTAAGTTAAATACTATATTATAAAATATTAAAACACTAAAAAAAATAATAATATTGAAAAAGCTGTTTTCCAACACCGCGGTAATAATTGGGTTTACAGCAGAAGATATAAGTAGAGAAAAAGTCGATTCAGTACTAGAGACATATATTAAATTCGTGGTGATGGTGGTGACAACTGGCAAGAGATAGTCTTAGAGACTTACTGTTAGACTACAAAGAGTTTCTGCTTTCGTGCAAAAAATTCACTGTTTATAGATACGTAAAATTTGATATATATATATATATATTGCTATAGATTTCAATAGCAACAAATTATAGATAAAAAAAATTAATTAATAAAAAACACCAGGATAATGTCCAAAAAACAAAAATAAAAAACACCAGGATGCAAAAATATATATTTACAATATATTACTGCAATATCATAATATTTGTTACATTTGAAAAAATATTTACTCTAAAATATTTGTCACATTTATAGTTTCAATGAATAATAAATTTTTTTTTCACATTTACTTTTTATATATGATCAATAAGTATTACTTGAATTTAATAATTTCTTAGAAAATTAATATTAAATTAAAGATAATATAGTCAATTTACTCAATAATTTATTATAACTTTAATAAATTTAATGGTTTTCTTACTAGGGAGACGCAATAAGTAATAAAACAAAATGCATTAAATTCATGACAAAGCATTTAACGAAGACCTAACTGATACTATAAATGAATAAGCAGTAATAATGCATCCTACAGATGATCCTACTCTATTAAATTTATGTTTCTTCTTAATTGATAGTTTTGACAAAGTTAGTTGTATACGGAATTTCTCTATAAACCTATCTACAAGACTAGAACCGTCAGCTTCTCATGTTATGTGAACAATTAGATAATATCATAAGGTTACATTACATTAAGGTTCATCAAGTCACATTATCCTGTCCATATCTAATCCGAATGGAGCGGATTAAAATCTGATTTATTTAATAATGAATCGAATATGAACTTTAAAATAAAACTCGACGTAGATATGGTTTGGATACGAATATAACATACTCTGATTTGAATTTGATATATGAAAATAATTTTGCCATGTCCTTATATTTCTAATTGCTGATTATAATTCTACATATGCAATTGCCTTTATTTTCTCTTTCTTCTTTATTTTCCAGTAATATTTTAAATTATTATATACAACTCTTTCACCTTTTCTGTATTTTTTTTAATCTCCGTACATCAAAGAAAATAATATAAATTGAACATTACCGACAATAGCTTGCATTTTTTTGCACTTAATAATTATTGAAGTCATAGCATACATACTAACAAGTGATGGTTGGAGTGGTAAACGATTTCATTCACCATAAGAATGGACTAAAATCTTTACGCTCTACAGCCTAAGAGAGATTACATCTCCTGATTATACAAAAAAAAATGTCATAGCATATATATTGTTAGGAATTTTTATGTTTTCAAGCATAATAAATAATACTTCCTTTATCCCATTTTGTTTGCATGGTTTGACAAAATAGGTATATTAAAAATTTAATCAACAATTATTTTGTCATTTTTCACTCTTAACTCATTAATGTATATCAATAAAAGTTTTGCGTTTAAGAATAATTATAAATGTTATTATAAATCTTCTAAAAAAAAGGTTATTATGGAAAAAAATTTCTATAAATATATAAATTTAGAAATCTAGTAAGCAAACAAAATGAGACGGGGAGAGTATAAATTTTCTTCAAAAAATATAAGTTATTATTATATTATTATTATATTTTTTTTTCCAAAAATAATAAAAAGGGGAATATTTGATTATGAGCGGAGTGGATATAATAGATATATGAAAAATCTTCGTGGATTGAATATAGATTTTGCATAATCTGATCCATGATTATTCTTGCATGAGATTAAGTACCTCATGCTTTTAGAGTAAATCATCATTTGCGGATAAAAGTAATTTAATCTTTAAGAGATGATAAGTGACGAGGGATCTTTTTTGCTTTAATCAGATGATCTCGAGTGTAATTGTGAGTAAGAATCCTTTTTAAACACTCAAAATGGGAAAACTTTATCTCCCGTTGTAAATTTATCTTGTAAGTCCGAATTAATCCACAACCAAAAGAAAATTTTAATTAGTGGTTTAAGTGAAAGTTCATGAAATATCACAAATCAACTTAACTAGGAAAATGAATTTAGTGCAGAGAAATAATTTGTTGCGTCATGATTCATAAGCATACTTAAAATAACAATTACTCTGGCTTTGGATTTGCTTTGTCATGGCCGCTGCACCAAATGACAACAAAGGTATGCACTTGACGTACACGTGATATCGAAATTTAATATTTTCGTGAAAAATAATTCTGAAACTACTGAGCATTTAATTATAAAAATATTTCTAAAATGTGTTATAATTTTAAAACTATTTAGGATATAATAATATTAATTACTTAATATTCTATTTAGAATTGTACATGTAATAAATTTATTTTTTTTTATTCTTTTATTTTATTTTCTTAAGTTTCAGAACAAAATTTACCTATTATGTTACTATCTCCGTTTGAAAATGCTTATCACATTTGTAGTTTCAATGAATAATAAATTCATTTTTTTCATGTTTATCTTTTTTATAGTACAAATAATTATTATTTCAATTTAATGGTTTTCATAAAGAAGTATTAAATTAAGTGTAATATAATCATTTTATTCAATAAAATATTATAATTTAGATAAATTTAATAATTTTCTTAAAAAACGTAAAATTTCAAATGTCGCAAGTATTATAAAAGACAAATAGTATAAACTATTTACTTTCTTTAGGGGATATAAAAATATTTTCTTTGATAAGTGCTAGGAATATCATATATTTTAATACTTCTAGAGTATAGAAGCACAAATTTTTGCTTTATCTTGCAGGTGACGACGACATCGAGTTGGCGGCAGAGAAAAACTCGGCATTCAGGCGAGCCGTCCAGTGGTGCGGTACTTATGATAATTATAATTTGTAAAAAAATATCATTTCAACCTATTAATTCATTTTCCTTCATACTTAGTTAACATACATATAATTTATATTGTATTTTGCACCCTTGACTTTATTTGTAATCCTTAGAATTTAGCTCTCATTTTCAATAAAAAAAAGAATATTAAAATTAAATAATCCCCCGTTCTAAAATTATAATCACGCTAAGGAAAATTTTGCAAAACAAAAAGGGAGAAAAAAAAATAAATGACACAGTTGGACAACACAAGCATTGTGTGGCATATTTTATTGCAACGTGGAGGCTGAGGAGGATTGAGGTACATGCGCGTTTGAATGTTGGAATGGGCCCTACCTACGGCCCTACCAGCATAAGTTTTAAACATTTTTTAGCTATAGTTTTAATTAATGCTAATAGCCATTAATAATGCCAATTTTTTTTAGATATTTTTCAAACAAGTTATATATTATAAATATGTGAATTTCTATTTTTTAAAGTTAAATATCAAAATTTTGGTATTAAAATTTTACCAAATAATTCCTCTATCCCAAAATTATAGTCTCACCTTTTTTAGCATCTCAAAATAATAGTGTCATTTATATATTTAGAAATATTTTTCTTTTCGCTTTCTCACATATTCATCACTGTATTAATGGCTAAATAATTGTCATCAATTATTGTTAATTATTACTCATTTTATCCATAAATATGAATCGTTTAAGGTTTTCATATAGTAATTAAAAAAATAATTAATTCATCTAAATTATAAAAAAAAATTTTAATCAACCAAATTACCATTATCTAAGATTCTAAAAAAATTTATTAATTACTCTTTTTGATATTTCAAAATACTTTATATTTATAGATAAAAAATATTTTAAAATAACTTATATTTATGTACAGGGGGGTAACGTATCAATCTGCTTAATTCAGGCCTTCGAAGAAGACATGGTCCAACAGGTTTGGGCCTATATGAGTTGGAATTTTGCTAAAGAACCACAAATAAGGGCGACAAATTCAAATTGCACTACAGGATAAGCGTGACAGGGATTGAAATCCATGTGTCTTGTTCTGTTTAGCTGTCTGTCCCATAAAATAGAATTTTTTTTTATGGAAAAATAATAAAAATATTCAAATTTAACTCGTTTGTTTTTAATTATATTGAAGATAGATTATGAACCCTCATTTTGTTTTTCAAAATTTGTAAAAGTTTATTCTGGTTTTAAGAGACCCAATTCCTTTTTCCTTGTTTTTTTCCTGTCACTTGAAAGTCTCACCGGCTGCCATTCTTATGGTTTAACCTTTCTTTATGTTGGTCTTTTTTTACTTATTATTATTATTATTATTATTATTGCAAAATTAATTGGTACAACTAGGCATGGCCACTGCTTCGTTTTGAACCGGAACTGAATTAGAATCTTACTATATTGTAGATGAACTGAAATCGGACTGAAATCGTCGATTCAAAGTTTTGAACCGGAACCACCGGTTCAAGGTCCAGTTAAGATTCATGTGAATGTTAAAATTTAAACTTGAACCGACTCTGAACTGATGGTTAACTGACGGTTTCGGTCCAGTTCGAACTAGAAATTTTTTATTTTTATTTTCAAAATGATAATCACTTAGCCTATTTTATATATCTAAGTCTCAATAACATTTTACTACATGATATACTTTATTTAAGATTTTTTTTTTAAATACACTTTACTTTAAAAGTTAAAAAGTCCAGTTAAGATTCATTGGTGAATGTTAAAATTTAAACTGGAACCGACCTCTTGAAACTGATGGTTAACTGACCGGTTTCGGTCCAGTTCGAACTATGAAAATTGTTTATTTTTATTTTTCAAAATTGATCCAATCACTTAGCCTATTTTATATATCTAAGTCTCAAAACATTTTACTACATGATATACTTTATTTAAGATTTTTTTTAAATACACTTATAACTTTAAAAGTTTAAAAATCTAAAAAGTTAAAATGGTAAAAAAATGAATAAATATTTAGTCTAAACTTTATATTGTTTTAACTTTTTTTTTACCCTTTTAAATTGTTTTACTAATTTAAAATTACATCTTTGAAGCATTTTTTTCAAAATTCTTTTTAATTTATTTACATTAATAAAATTTAAACAAAATAAAATTGACAAAATAAAATGATAGTTTATTTGATTATTTTGTAAAATTAATTAAGTTTACTTTTATATGAGTATGAGTATTCTAAAATTTATTTAAAATAAAATATACCAATGTTTTTTAAACTCATATTAATATTTTCGAAAGAAAAATGTAACATTAAAACTGATTTTTTTTATAAAATATAAATATCGCCGGAATTGGAACCGAACCGAAACCAATGATTCAAGTACCGATTCAGATTCAAGATTTTAAAAATTTTGAATCGTCCGTTCTGTGAATCGAAATCAGCGGTTTAATGAATCGGTCATGCCTAGCACCACAACTAATTGTACTGAAAAGCTGAAAAAATAGTGATTAATATTTTTTTTAGGGAAACTACTTTTATTTGTTTATTTTATTATGCTTTTCATGAAAGGTTGTAATCCCAAGGAATCATTACAAAAATTGTAAACAGCACAAAAAAAAAAAAAATTCATTTTGCTATTTGTAGTACTCTGTTCGGGAATAACTTTTATTTATTTATTGCAGTATTTTATTTTATTTTATTCCGTTACACTCGCTCTGTTCTATAATACTTATCAAAATTTAGAACATGTTTTTTAAGAGAATTATTAAAATTATTAAAATTATAATAAATTATTAAATAAATTGACTATATTATTTTCAATTTAATACTACATTTATTACATAATACTTGTCATATTTAAGAAAATAATTTATTTCAAAATGCTTGTCACATTTATTGTTTCAAAGAGTAATAAATATTTTTTTCCATGTTTACCGTTTGTATATGATCAATAATTATTACTAATTTAAATTTTTTTTAGAGAATTAGTATTAAATTAAGGGTAATATAATTAATTTATTCAATAATTTAAATTATTCAAAATTATTATAATTTAGACAAATTTAAATGGTTTTAAATTAAGGGTAATATAATTAATTTATTCAATAATTTATTATAATTTAGACAAATTTAATGGTTTTTTTAAGAGACGTGAAATTTCAAATGTAATAAATATTATAGAACAGAGGTAGCACTAGTTCTTTAAGAAAACCACTAAATTGAAGTAATAATTAATACAAAGGGTAAACATGAAAAAAAATATTTATTACTCCTTAAATCCATAAATGTGACAAGTATTTTAGAACAAACTATATTCTCAAATATAACAAATATTATGAATCCGTGGAAGTAGTAATTTATTAAGAACATGCCTGAGTGAGAAAAATGAAACCATTGCTTGACTTTTAAAAAATAATTTTATTCCCAACCGCTGTCTCCGTAAGGATTAAATTAGAATCCAATAAGAGTTATTTTATTACTACCTAAATTGAAATTTGGGTATTTTTCTATTAAAAATTGAAATTTTGGACTAATAAAATGCGTTGTGCATAGTTAAGATACCAATACTATGGCATAGATAAAATTGACCCTGGTATTTTCCCATTTAAACAGCCTTAATATATATTTCTTTCAAAACAATTTGAATCAGACTTTATAAAATCACTCAGAATAAAATATAAGTCACAAATCTAAAAACATAAATGATAAATAAATTCAAATTTTAGGTGAGTTATGGTCCAAAAATGTTAAATCATTCTCTAAGTATTCAAACTCGATTAGTCGATTGTCTTCTACAAAAATTACCAACTAATTAGTAAGAATCATGGCAGAGAGCTTTTGGCAAAAGCCTTGTTCGACAATACTAATTTTCTATCTGCAGACTGGCCTCAGCAGTGGCTTACGGAATTAGATTGCCACAACTTTGGCCTTAAAAGAATTAATATGGCCAACTTTTATCATCTTCTGAATTTATAAGTATAAAAAATGGTTATTTTACAGCAACTGGAAACTGATACAAAATTGTAAGGGTCAAAAGACTTTCTCAAACATTTCTTCTCTTTTTGTGTTTGTGAGTATCGCCACCGTCTTGTCCTTCTCTTCTCATCCCACCATTGTTACCTTTCTTCAATGCCTGAGACCAATGTAAAGAATAAATCTACATTCAATATACAAAGATTAGAATTTGAATATTCCTTATTACCTCAGCAGAGAGAGACTTCAGTGGGTCTTTGCTTTTCTTAAATTTCATCTTGGATCCCCGCCGGCGAGTAGAGTTGTTATTTCCCATTGCGGCTCTGGCTAGTTTGACCATTTTGCTTGCTTCCTTAGTTGTTGGGTCCAGTAGGTAGTCAGGCACATCACGGAGATGAGGAGCAGGCGGGTTCTTGCTCAGAACCTTGTCGTGTTTCAATAGATCTGCTCCAACAAAAAATTTAGGTCACAATAATTAGACTAACAGAAAAAAGCACAATGAGGATAGTCATATTCAACAAACAACATTACCTAAATCCCTTGGATTAGCTTGAAAATGAGCCTTCAGCCTAGAAAGGCAGATGAGAGTGAAAACACAGTTTAAAAAGTGGCAGAAATGAAAACTAGCTTGCAAAAGAAAAGGTCCATCATGCTAAAATGTACTTTGACTGAGATCAAATGCCAAATAAGTACTAAACTTGGAAAAAATTCGATTATGTCAACTTCCCATAACAGTGCGAGAGATGGGCCAAAGGCAACCCCAAACAAGTGAAAAATCAGAAAAGCCATCACATACTCACTTCTCAGAGTTTAGTATTTCATTCCTCAAATCCTGAGCTCGTGCTTCCCTGACAGCAATTTTTGTCACACTCTTAGCAGTATCCTGCAAAATAAAACTCTACCCATTAATGATATTTCTAGACAAAATGATTTCTGCTTCTTCCAGAACCAATATGTTGCCCAATCTACTCGCCACACAAGAAAATATCATCCTGAGCTCGTACAAGGAAAAAAAAAAAAAAAAAGAATTGGATATACAGATAGAACACCACCAACATAAAATATTACTTAGAAGACTAGTTCAAGGAGAGCAACTGTGATGACCAAGAGTCTTTTGTCCAGACTTGACATGCACCATCAATTAAAAATTTACAGCATCAAGTGATCAAAAATAAAAAGCACATATCTTTGAAATAATGGTCTTTATGCAAGGAAGAAAAAACAGTGAAGTTTCCTGTAAGTAAAATCAAAAACAACTTGCACTTCTGCATACATTAACCACAATATCAACAATATATATATATTTCCTGTAAGTAAAATCAAAAACAACTTGCCACTTCTTGCATACATTAAACCACAATGATCAACATATATATATATATATATTATATATATATATATAACACATATATATTCATTCATTCCAAGCAAATCATTTCTTCATTTATTTTTATCCACAAGGAAAAGAAAGACATTAATATGTAATTGAGCCAATAAATCAAAAAGAATTCACGCTCAGCTCTATTACACATATATATTCATCATCCAAGCAAATCATTGTTCTCATTTATTTTTATCCACAAGGAAAAGAAGTACATAATATGTAATTGAGCCAAGAAATCAAAAGAATCACCTCAGCTCTATATCGCAAAGACTCTACTGCATTCTTAGTGAGTAATGGAAAAGGAGCAATTATGTCTGAATCTTTGTTCTCATCATCCCCTAAAAAGGATTTTACATCTCCAAGGATTTCCATCTCATCTGGAGAAACCTACCAAAAGATCAAGTATTAGAATGGCAAAATTTTAAAAATCATATTCGTAAAATTAAAACAAGAAAAAAGAAAAATTGAGCATATGAGTATCTATGCATTGTTCTATATAGGTTTATATGCAGAGTGTCTAAATCAAGCAACAGATAAACACACATGCACAGAGAGAGAAAAAAAACTTCATTCATACAAATTAAAATCTCAAATGCATTCGAAAGCACTATTCATGATAGAATTTTTTTCCCCAAAATCGGTGGTGTTATTGGCTGTAGTTAGACCTGGTTAAAACTCTTTTGGGAGTTTGAAAGACGTAATGTAACAACATTTTGAATCAGTAAAGAGGGAAGCATGGTGCAGATATCATCAGGCTATGAGAGATGAGTATGCATACAACTGAACAAAAAATTATGCTGCACAAACAGACAAGAAGCTAATTATGCTAAGATTTTCTCCCATATTGTATGCAATTATATTTATTTTGTCCAAAAAGAACTCACTAGAGAGACAGAAGCACCAGTACTATATCCTCTTCCAGTACGTCCAATTCGATGTACATATCCCGCAGCACTTAGAGGCATATCATAATTTATGACCTGTAAAGGATCGATAGAAAAAAATACTGATATTAAGCAAATGACAAGAAAAACTTGACATGCATTACTAGCTGAAGACAACATTTGAAAGACAAATAATTAATCTGCTGTAAAGAGAATTTGCCACTGAACACAAGTAGATGGTACAAAAACTAGAAGATGTCTTAGTGCCAAAGTTATAACTAACAAAAAAGATACTTATAATGATCCCGAGTGGCTACCCCTGCTAAGGAGATATCAGATTTTGTTTAAACCAATGGGATTTGAAAAAAATTAATACTTATAATATAATTCTCAAAGCTGGCTGAACCTTAATGAACAGTTAAAAGATTGGAAGTCCCCATAAAATTGAGATGTTTGCTATGTAGAAACATACTACCATTGCCACCCAAAATCACAAATTCTGTAACCATGATGCAGAAACCAAATGATTCAAACATTTGAATCTACACATTAAAACTGAGTTTAGATAGATATTTGCTAGTTTAGGCTTGGTTGTTGTTGTTGTTGTTGTTGTGCATCACACCCTTGAAACATTAAAGTCCACTTCCATTTACAACATGGCATATTGCAGAAGTGCAGCTGTGAACCCTTCCCAAAAATTAAATCACAATCATTAGCTTACCGTGTGTACATTTTTGAAGTCAATGCCCCTCACAACTCCAAATTCAGAGTCCAACTTTTGCTTAGATTGTTTTTTAGATTTTTTCGATTCAGGAAGACTCCCATCCCCTTGTTCCTTATCTTTTGTTTCACTGTCATCAGTTGCTATTAAATAATCAAAAAGGCCAGCATTGAATTCCTGAAGAGACAAACACACAAAAGTAAAGATGAGATATGAAATATGTTGCTTGTTGCTCAATATACAGTCATAATAAGAAACATTAAACCTAATATTCAACTATAGGGTTTGGCATTCAGCTATTGCAATTAAATAATTAATAGAAACTTCAAGTGATCATATTAAACCCCCTTCCCCCCAGCAGTGTGCCCATAAAATATCCTCAGAAAGTCAAAAACTAAAAGCAGAGGATTGACTTCTTTCTCAAACTTATTCCAAAGAAAAAAATAAGGCACGTGAGTTCTGAAGTTCCTGAAAATTGAAACTCCATGTACCTCAAGTATATGAAGACGAGAATTCTGTGGCAACTCAGCATTTAGAACAGCAGATTTGATTCCAAACTGTCAAAAGATAATCAAGAATATCAAAAATGAGAAGGAGAAAAATCTCAAATCGCATAGTGAAGAGGTTGTAACTTGTATCACAAACTTAAGTGAGAGGTAAATACCAGAATAGAAATCTCTATCACAATCATATATACACATAAAGATGCAGCAGATAATATGAATCAGTATTCAATGAGACAAGGAGTTTTAGGGGTCGGTTTCCTGATCAATCAACAGTTTGTTTGTCCATCTAAATTCAAATAACATTCAGAAGAAAACCGACACAGCTTTCTCAAATCATCAACTCATTGGACAGCTTCTAACATTAGTGCGTGCAGATCTAATGGAATAAGATGCAGCTATGTAGTATCCAGAGGATCAGTCAATACAAGGCAAGTACAATAGGTTCAGCCCTTTGTCCAGTCTATTTGCATCTACCATGCCCAACGTCTTGATAGAGATCAAATCCTAAACGTAAAAGCTAAGGACGTTTTGGGTAATTAATGCTTTTGCTTTGTAAGTAGTTAGGATACCTTTTCCAAAAACAGCTTCAGCCTGAAACTCATGTCAATGGAATTAGTAAATATTAAAACTTTTTTCTGAACCAGCTCCAGCTTCAAAAGGGCAAGAATGTGGAGTAACTTGTCACGATCACTGCATGAAATCTGAAACATAATGTGAAAGAGGGGCATGCAAAATCATTAGTAATATTAAAAATTATTCATGAAACAAGATTAGTAGAATCTCGTAAACTCCTAATGGGACAGTGGAAATCCTTACCCAAAATTGCTGAACATTTCTGGGAATTGCTTCATCCTTAACACCTTCGACTTCTGGCAAAGTCAAAATATATGGATTGTGTAGAATGAGCTTCTTGAGCTTATCAACATCAGCACTGCCAAGTATAAGATGACAAGCTATAATATATTAACTAGTGTGCATCTAAGTTTCTCAATCACATGGATAGAGCTAGCAAAATGCACATGGAATTTTTTAAATGGTGTGAAGACTTGTCCCCATGAAGGTTTTAATTTCTTTTAGAAAAAATTAGCAAGATCAGTGGTGAGAGACTATCAGAAATTAGCTGGAACATGGAAGTGAGGAGAATGCTGACATGATACTAGATGCAAACTCATGAAGACACAAACTATGAGGTGTAATTCAAAAGTAATTAAAAGGTATTATACATCTAAGCCAACAGTAAGAGAGAGGGAGAAAGAGAGTCTCATAAATAAAGCACCTTGAGGTGGCAGACATAAGAAGGCATTGGCAACGTCTAGGAAGAATAGCTGTTAGAGCTTTAAGATCATCTTCATAGCCAAATGACAATAAAAGATCTGCCTGAAAATAAATTTATATCAATAATCTCCCAACAAAAAAATTACAAATCTGATTAGAAAAACTGTTCAAGAAATTATCAAGGATAAAAATATTATTATAATAAACGTTTATTATTCTTAAAATGAAATATAAAATATTATGTCAAATCCATTTGAACATAGAATACAAAATGTTATATTTTGAAAAGTAAGTACCACCATTCAATCTGTATAGACATGGCACAATTGTTCACATTTCACACTGTATTATACCAAATGAAATCTAGTTGAGGTGGAAATGGTATATTTATTCCAAATTCTAGTTGTCAAGGAAGAATTATTATAAGAATGGACAGGCCATCACCTCATCAAGAATAAGAATTTCAAGTGAATCGTTTATAGATGTTGATTGAAGCACACCAGCCGACAAGCACTTGGCTATACAAGCAGGAGTTGATACAAGAATAGCAGGAGCACCAGCCAATGCAGTCCGCTGGAAGCAATCACAGTAATCAGAAAGAGTAATCAAGTTAATTCAACAACGCATTGCTTACATAAACAAAGCAAAATTAAACAGGAGAAGACAGAACCAACCAAATCTTTATCAGGCATTTTGCTTGTCAACTGTACAACTTTCAGTTGAGCCTTACATAAATCAATTAGTGAAGAAACCTCATTATGAACCTATAACACAAGACACATAATTAAAAAGAAAAAAAAATTACACTTTCTGGTAAAATAAGACATAAAGCAGTATGAGAGAGAAAACCGGAAGACAAAAAGAAGACTAAAGTTTTTGCCTGCTGACACAGCTCTCCACTAGGGACAAGAATGAATGCAGATGGGGCAAGCTTCTTGTTCGAACCAGAATTAGCAAACAGCTTATGAAGCAAAGGAAGAAGGTAAGCTAAGGTCTTCCCTGAACCAGTTTTTGCTCTCGCAACCACATCCTTCCCTTCCTATAAACATCAATATTACAAGTTTAACTGATGCAATGTAAACCAACAAATTAGCCTACTACTTGTCAATTCAAGAGACAAAAAGCGCATTAGAACAGAGATAGGGGTGGCTGAAAGAGAAACTCACTAGGATTAACGGGATAGCGACTCGTTGGATTGGAGTTGGCTTTGAAATACTATTGTCTTTCTTGTTTAACGCCCGAATTAAACGAGGGTCCAGACCAAGATTTTCAAAGGTCTGCTCTTCTTCTTCTTCCGATTCCTCTTTTATTTCTTCTTTCTGTACGTTCTCTTTTGCTGGTTTCTCTATAGTTTTAGCCATTAAGTCAGGGTTTTGATACAGAATAAGAGCGAGTACGGTTCAAATGCAGGGTTCTAAGAGGAGTTAGGGTTTTTGAGGTTAGAGATGAGAAAAGTGTTGCAGTGAAGTGACAGATGAGTCGGGTTTCAAGTTAACCCGTTGAATGGGCAAGTAACCGAAACTGACCCGCAATCTCTAATGATCCTAAATAAACGGACCGTGGTTTCAAATGGACTGGATTGATACCAAAAATAAAAGGTCATTGTTTCAAACATGATTTATGAGGCCCAACATAAATTCATCCTCCAATTTTGCAACTTTAACATTAATGATTAATGTCTGAGTTGGGGTTGGTACAAGATTTTTAGGCACAAGTACAATCCATGATAATAGCCATGGCATAGGTAAGTGAAAATTTCATAAGGAATTTATGAAAATGATTTATCTACTGTTGATAGACCAAATCAATGAAAAAAATTTTTAAAAAAAATAGATTATTTCTAATCATGTATTAGCAAAAAAAAAAAAAAAAAAAAATGAAAAATTTCAAAGGGAATTTATGAAAATGATTTATCTGACTGTTGATAGACCAAATCATATGAAAATAAATGTTTTTAAAAAAAAATAGGGATTATTTCTAATCATGTATTAGCAAAAAAAAAAAAAAAAAAAAAAAGAAAAGTGGGAACAATTATAAAAAATCTCTATTGTAACCGGTTTGATCCTTGTTTCGTGGACATTAGGCAAATTTTAAATGCAATTGCACAGGAATGGCTAAAATTGCCATCTCAATCCTAAATATTAAGTCGGCCTATCTCTAAATTATTTTGGATCGAGCCAACGTGGCCACAGTTCTTTTTCCGGGAAGGATCTAATCCACGTCCTTGGCGAAATCTTTTGTAGCCCAACTGCATTCACTAATCAATGGATGGTCCACACCACCTGTAGCACCTAACCCAGCAAACTTCCAATCCAGTGTCTGTGGACAGAGCCAGACAAGAGGCAAACTGAAACCCCTAGCCATGGACCAGCAGCACTGCCTCATCTAAATAAAAGCGCCATCAGTCCATCACTACTCTCTTAATGTGGCATTCAACATAGAAACATCATTATACATTTTTGTTTCCTTTTTTCATTTTGTTATGTTCAAGCGAAGAAAGCCATAAACAAAACAAATGTTTACACTTTCCACCTTTTTCTCATTAAGGAAGGACAATGCATTTAATTAACCTAATTTTGGCTTAATAATAATTCATCATCATATTCAATAAGCGTGCAAATGACGCTTAGCCTGAATAGCAAGCCGATATCATAAAATGATTTTTTTTATTTTTTTTTGTGTTCTCTCCTCAGAGTAAGATTAATATGGAAGAATTTACATTGCAAATTATCGAATTCATAACCTAAATTATGGTTATTAACCTTATAAGTGCTTTTTTTTTTTTTTTATCAAGCTATCCCTATATATTAGGGTCATCAATATAGATAGACATATTTTGATTTAATAATTAAGATGTTTTGTTATTAATTTTCATAATGCTTAATAATAAAAATTCTGTTAAGGAACATTTTTTGACCAAAAGAAAAACCAATTTAATATTGGGATTTGGGACCCAACTCATGATGAAATGCATACCATTCATAGAGGACCCCTATTTGAAATGAATGAAAGCACATTTGACCATCTATACTTTCGGTGTATGATTCAATGTTTTGCAATCACATCTCTTTGATCCTTATGATAATAATAACATCTTTAAAATTAGAATGTTCATTGGATTTTAGCGAAAAATAATCGAGTATTTGCCCCATAATATAAAATTAAATATTTCTTAAACCTAATACCTTTTAATAATAGCTTTTGGATTAGAGTTAGACAGAGATAATTTGTGGGCCTGCTGTGGTTAAAAATAGCATGCCCTGCACTACCTGAGAAGACAAATTTCATCACTAGATGTTCAATTAAAGTAGCAAAATGCTAGTCAAATGGATCTTTGTCCAATTATGTTGAGCTAAGCAATGCTTAAACATTTTTGCCCACAAATTTGGAACAGGATTTTAATTCTCTCTGCATATTCATATAATATAAACATTCTCATTTTTTAAAATTTATCTTCTTTACAGGATTTAAAAATGGGGTCCATTTGTATTGTCATGGACTTACTAAAGTTCTTGTGACACAGCCACTTAGCAAAAGCAATAGAATTAAAAAAATCATGGGCTGTGGCTTATGCTTTCTGCCAAAGCTAAAAAATGTGCAAATATTATCTTTTGCACTGTTTCAGTCATTATCTTTGCGGTTTTAAGCAAAATCAGAATATTAAAACTTTGAACAAAAGAATCATTATTCAATTTTCAAACAAACTGTATTACTGACATATGGACTATAGCTTTTGTGTGGGATAGTGAAGAATCCATATAAATGTCAAGAATTGAATTAAATAACAAAATCAAAGTCAATTGAGCAAAGGAAGAAATAGAAAGAATAGGCACAAAATCTGAATCACATGCTAAACTTAGAATATAAAACAAGTTTATTAATATCTTAATACCACTAAGTAACATTAAACCAAAGCAAAGCCAACCTAAACAACAATTTAACAAAAAAAAAAACCCAAGTTCTAAAAAGTCTAGACTATGTAAAAGAAGGAAAAAGTAAAAAACAAAAGTAAAATTAAAATTCTTGGAAACCCGCAAACTACAATGATACATGCCACTCGAAGCATGTGAAGTAATAATGTATAGTACATAGTATACTCTAAAATGAACAGAAAGAAAGTGGATAAAAAAATTATTTATTTACTGTAGAGCGGAGTTAGCAAGTTGTAGTGTATGACTTCGCTCAATTGAAAGTCTTTAAAGGTTATGGTCTCAAGATATTTTGTACACTAGCAAAAGGAAAGAAAGTCCAAAATAGTAGTACCCATAAGACCCATGAACCAAATAAGCCAAGTTATGACCAAGAGACTGACTAGAATGTTGGGGCTAACCAGAGAAAGCAATAGAATAGCCCCATCAAAAATAATCATACAAAAGCTTTGATAAAATTAAAACCAGACAATCTGCAATCCATGTGATGGTGCTGGTCTCCCACCAGCTCTCTCACTATACTAATATTATATCAAAAATTAAAAATAAAAATAAAAAATAAAAAATAAAAGAAAAAGAAAGAAGAAGCCGCTATAACTCTTCAAAGTAGGTAAAAGAGCATTTCTAATAAATGCAACCAGACGGAGGGTTCCTCGCAAAAAGTTCCCCACCGCTGAAATTTTTTATTTCTGCAATTTAATTAGCCCAATGCAGACAAAATATCACCGTACAAGCAAAACACATATAGTGGGAGGAGAAAGCAAGAGGAAGAGATTGATTACACTAAATTAAACTTTGATTGTTATATATCATATCACCATTAATGACGATTGACAAGTAAAAGGAGAAGCTGCAATATTGCTTGTTTGAATTGATTTATACACTCTGGAGTTTTGGAAAGAAACACCGCAGATATAATAAATTTAAGAAAAGAGTTAAAGAAAAAGGAATAATCAAAAGCCAAAAAAAAAAAAAAAAAAAAAAAAAGGAATAATCAAAAGCCAAAAAAAAAAAAAAAAAAGAAAGTTCTGAAAAAAAAATTAGTAAAAAAGTTACAACTAACCCATCTTGAGAATTAAACTAGCATTAGCCCACTTCTCAAATGAAATTACCTTTGTTTCTTTTTCTTCAAACTTCAATACACTTAAAAAGCATAACCTTGAATTTTGTAGTGGGACCCACACTTTGTTGAAAATAAAATATGGTAGGTGATCAACCACGTTTGAAATTAAAAAAAAAAAAAAAAAAAAAGAGAAGTCTGAAAAAATTAGTAAAAATACAACTAACCCATCTGAGAAAAATAGCATTAGCCCACTTCTCAATGAAATACCTTTTTCTTTTTCTTCAACTTCAATTACACCTAAAGCATACCTTGAATTTTGTTTTCTTTTTTTTTTTTTTTCTTCTGATGAATTTACGCTCAATAATCAGGCATCAGTTGACTAATCTTGCCTTCTTCAAGAGCCATCTTCTGTTCAGTAATCTTCAACCAAATACAAACACCAGTGAAACTGAGTACCAAACTAGCAAAACCGCTTCCCAAACCAATCCCAACAATGGCCAAAACAGATAAACCTTTATTTTTCATTGGAGGCAAAGGGTATCCGTAAAGATCTTTATTTCCTTCAAATGATGTCGCATTGAATCTTGGCAAATTCCCACTTCTATTCCCTAATGAAGCTGGAATTGGCCCTGAAAGCTTATTATTGCTTACATCAAAAGCTGATAGCCTTACTAATAAACCCAACTGTGGTGGGATTTGACCAGAAAGAAAATTATCATGAAAATCAATTACATTTAAATAAGCACACAATGCAACCTGCTGTGGGATCTCTCCTTCAAGCCTATTAGAGGAAAGATTAAGCACTGCAAGATTAACTAAGTATTGTAAATCTGCAGGAATAGGACCAGTGAGAGAGTTAGAAGATAGGTCTAGGGTTTGGAGATTAGTACAGTTTGATATATAAGGAGAAATAGAGCCTTGTAAAGAAAGATTTGTAAGGGAAAGTTTATAGATGCGGCCATTGTTACAAGTAGCACCAGAAAGATAGGAGTTGAAACCCGAACATGGATTTGCAAAATTTGGTTTTGTCCAGTTTTGAAGAGAATTTGTTGGGTCTTTTAAAGATTGACTTAAATGGGTTAAACAAGCTTCATCGTTTGGATCTGATGTAGAAAGATTAGTGCAGGTAATAATAAGAAGAAGTAGAAGCAGAGACCGAAAACTACAACCCATTTAGAAAGGAAGAAAGAAAAAAAAAATCAATTCTTGCTTAGATTTCTTTATTTTTGAGGTTCAGGAAAAAGAGAGAAACAGAGACAGAGTGGTTGCTACTGTTTATATCTTGTTTCATTAAGGTTGATGAAGAAAAAAATATTGGAAGCAACGCAATAGCAGGAAACAAGTCAAACAGAAAGAAATTAGAGAAAATAAAAGAAAGGGAAAGAGGGTATCTGGTCCTGTTATAGTTCTTGAACTTGAAATTTTCCGCTTTATAGTGTGTGTATATATATATATATATATATAAAGGTGACCTGACCTGGCCTTTATATAAACTGGGCTTTGAATTCAATTCCTGGTTATGATTTTGGGGAGAGGGAGGGGGAAAGAAGTTTGGTGAAAGTGAACGCAAGAGACACAAGTGAAGGGTGGGGTGACTTTGTGTGGGTAGTAATCTGCACGTATAAGGAGCAGGAAAGGGACAATACAGTATTTAGTCCTTGTTTGGACGAAGGAAATAAGTTCATAAATATATGGGTGGCACTTGAGAAGATGGCTTTTTTTTTTTTTAATTTAAGTAGAAAATAAGAAAATTATCAATAAATTGAATAATGAAATGAATCTATTTTATTGTTATATCCAATACCTTTATTGGAATATTTTACTAAAATTGACTTGTCTAAACTAAATTAAAAATAAAAATTTCTGTTTTTTTAAAACAAATATAATCTTTATCGTTTCACTAGAAAAAATGTGAATAATTATTAAATAATCTATTTTCTAATTATTTTAATCTATTGACCGACAGCTGAATATAGACAAGTGTAATCCACTTCAAATAAAATGTTGGAAAATAATAAGGGATTGAAGGATTTTACTTGGAAAATTAAGAGTTTAACATTTAAAATAGATGTTATTTAAAGGGTGTAATTCCTTTGAGCCCTAAATCGTTACACTTCCAATAAAATGAACTTTCTAGAAAAAAGAATTTATTTGAGAATTACTCTCTAATATGTACAACCAGTAAAAAGGTAAAAAAAAAAAGTGTTATGCACGGTAAAGGGGGTTTTGGTAATTAGGATGAAAATTCGAGGGAAGCAGGAAACATTGTGGAGAAATGCGGGGTTTTTCAATTTTTTATATTGATGATCAGTTCAAGGAGGGAGAGAGTTAAAGATATTTGCTTTATATCCGTGACGAAGAATAATGTAAAATCTAGTCCGTTATTAATGCTCTCACTCCTTTCACATTGGACTCACTGTTGCCGTCAGATCCGGTCTCTGTTACTCTTTGAGTCTCTTTCCATTTATTTTTTTTATTATTTATAAAAAATAAGGTTAATTAATTCTATATCATAAACAATGCGAAAATCTTTATTAAGGAACATACCATGAAAATTTGATAAAATTAAGTTTAATAAGATCTTCAATTTCATTAATTTATAAAATTCTAAATTGACGCTAACGGTGTGGTTGTTTTTTGTATGTGCTATGAAAAATATTATAAATAAAAAGTTTTGAATTCGAGTTATCTATATATCAAATAATATTATATTGATTTTAATGCTAATTAAAATTTTATGATATATTTAAAAGATGAAAATTCGTTGTTTAATTAATTTCAAATAATTTTATAAATTAATTGGTAGTTGAATGGATTTTTTTCATAACAATGAAATTTGCTATTATGCTCAATAAAACAAAAAATATTTATAGTTATCTTGTTGATATGGTAATGGCAATTGCCTTATGGTATAAAAATCCACATTGACATTGAATCTAGATGAAGCAAATAATATCAAATCCTTTGAAAGGGGAGATAAACATAGATAATGGCATACCTAGCTACTTGAACAAGTGCCCCATTTTGCTAAAGTAATATATATATATATATATATATTAAGAAAGAAAAGTGAAAGAAAATTCCACTTATATATGTCTTGTGTATATAAATACAAATACAATAAATGAAATTCTTCACACTAGTATTTTTCTTTTAATGTCAATTAAAGCTTCAAATTCATATATGTTTGTACATATATAATATTAAGATTGTGTTCTACAACAATACTTTTAAGTAGCTTTTAATATTTTCACCGGTTAAAAAAGCTAAATATTATTTTTTATAGTATTCGATAATGCAGTTTTTGAATTGATTTTTTAGAAATTAAGGTAATATTTTATAAAAAGTTTCTTCATGTAACACTTATCTTTTAGTGTTTTATAAAAAAAAAACTATTCAAACAGCAACAACTAAACACTAATAAAACAGCTAATAATTATTAAAATAACTAATTTTGCCGAGTACAACGATAAACTTCAATTTAATTTGGAGGCTAATGAATGTAATGAAGTGGAAAATTATAGTTTTATAATCAACTACTAAAATACCAAGTGAATAATCAATAACCATTTGGATCAAAAGAAATGGACCGTATCCCATGTAGCAGAACTAGGTAGGCCGAAGATGCTCTCCACTCTCTAGCGGTTTTTTTTTTTTTTTTTTTTTTTTTTAAAATAACTAATTTTAGCCGTCACGTAGATATCCACAACGATAACTCACAATTTAATTTTGCGAGGCTTAAATGAATGTAATGAAGTGGAAATTATTAGTTTTTATAATCAAACTAGCTAAAATACAAGTTGAATAATCAATGAACCATTTGGATCAAAAGAAATGCGAGCCGTATCCCATGTAGCAGAACTAGGGTAGGCCGAAGATGCTCTGCCGAGCGTCTCTAAGCGCGTTTTTTTTTTTTTTTTTTTTTTTTTTTTTTTTTTTTTTTTTTTTTTTTTTAATTTTGCTTTAAAATTGTTAAATTTTTTAAAATTTTAGTTCCTAAAATAGTTTTTTTTTTTTTTTTATTTTGCCTTAACCTTTTAAAAAAATTTGTAGTTCTCCAATTTCTATTTCTGACTCCACTACTGATTTTCATGTAAATTTTTTTTTATAAAATTAACCATTTGAAACTTTAAGTCACCACTATTAAAAGAATTTTATTTAAATTCAATTATCTATTTTGACGTATAGACATACATACTAAAATTTAAAAAATTAGGATTAAAATATATATCAATCTATTTTCATAGTTTGTCAAAATTTTCTAGTAAGTTGCTTATTCTTTGAATTTGTGGGGTTGAATGTCTTACCAAGTTTGTTCTCAGTCTAATTCTATTGCCAAACAGTGGGAAATGGAAATGATATGTGTCTAATAATTGGAATATTAACCATAATTAAGAAGAATATGTTCAATTTTTGATAAATTATTGTGCTTTTTGATAATTAAAAGGAAAGAAAGTGGGTTAAAAAATTAGGTTGAGTAGCACTATGAGTGGGTCCATGAAATGGAGGTGTCTACGGCAGAAGCTCTATTGGATCAGTATCACATGTCTGGCAGAGGAATCCATAGAAATAATCCTTTTAAGATGTGAAAAGTTCACACTTCACAAACGCAGAAGGGACTATCTTTTATGGGTTGTCACTGTAATGTTATTCACCTTCCACTATATAGAAAAAAGTTCACATATCACAAACGCAGAAAGGGGACTTAAATTACCCTTTTGGAGTTAGTTCATCATCGTAATTGTTGTATTTCACCTTAATTCTCCACCCTATTATATATATATTATAATCATATAAATATTATATATTCCTATTAATATATTTCAAAAAAATCAAAAATGCCTTTTTTTTTTTTTATTTTTAATTTCGCATGCCTAATTTGATTTCAAAACTATAAGGTGTGCAGTCGTCTATGATAAAATTTCTTCATTCGAAATAATTAAAAATGAAATAGGACTAAAACTTTTTAAATTAAATTTAACTTAAATCAAGTAGTATATATTAATTTATAAAAGATCAGTTTAATTTTAATTTAATTAAAAAGTAAACTGTTTTTGGAATTCTATATTGTCTGGGTTTTTAAAAAAATAATGCAAACAAATCAAAATAAAAATTATCTATATTTTCTATGTTAATAAATCAAAATAAAACCAATATATAAAAAAAACATGCAAACACTAGATCCATTCAGTTTGATAGATTTGTGAATTCTTCCAAAATTGTGCTTTAGCTTCCAAGGTGTAACATAGCGTGTTTAAGAAAGTGATAATGTTTTGTTTGATAGAGTTATAATTGAATCATTAAAATAATATGATTTTTTTTTTTTTTTTTTTATTTCGCATGCCTAATTTGTTTCAAACTATAAGGGTGAGCAGTCGGTCTATTTAAATTATCTTCATTCGAAATAATAAAAATTGAATAGACTAAAACTTTTTAAATATAAATTTAACTTAAATCAAGTAGTATATATAATTAAATTAAATCAGTTTAATTTAATTTAATTAAAAGTAACTGTTTTTGGTAATTCTATTTGTTGGGTTTTAAAAAATAAGATCAAATCAAAAAAATTTACAATTTTCTATGTTAAAACCGAAATAAAACCAATTATAAAAAACATGAAACCTGATCCATTCAGTTTGATGATTTGTGATTCTTCCAAAATGTGCTTAGCTCCAAGGGATACATGGTGTTTAAGAAAGTGATAATGTTTTGTTTGAGAGCTTAATGCATAAATATGATTCTGAATTTTAATCGATTTTTTTTTTTTGCGATCTTTGAATTTTGACCTAATATATTAAAATATTTTTTTAATAGATTGCGAACTCGAGTTCCGCTTATTATAGTTATTCGGTTACATCGACTAATGAATAATAATTCGTTATAATACACAAAGCTCATTTTAAGAAAAATATATATATGTATATATATTTCAAATAATCTCAGTCCATAAAAAAATTAGAAATATTTATATTCATTGCGAATATAACTAATCTTAATTTCCAATCAAAAAAGTTACTATTAGGCATTAGCGGTAATGATGCCAAACGACCTCACGGTTGAAAATTTGTCACCCCTTGAAGAATCGGGCAGTAAAAAAGCATGGTTTTTTTTCCCAAAAGTGTTAATTAATTATCACATTTATTGCTGATTCTTGAAGGCTAAAAGAACAAAAGAAGAATGATGTAGAACTATGGGTCATTTTCTCATGACAAAAAAGCCATAATAATAATAAAAAAACAAAATAATTATATCTTTTAAACTTCCACTAAATATACATTTATTCATCCTATTTCTTCCCCATTACTATGCACTAAAAGACAAATAAATTTTCACACTTGACCACAAAAGTGTTGATGAATGTACAAATTGCATGATAGTCCCTCATCCCATATATATTGATCTCTATTGACTTTTACATAGATTAAGAAAAACTAATTAATATTTCTAGACAATATATATAAAATAAAATTGACTTTACTGATAAAAAAAGTTAAAATAGTTAAACTATATATTTTTTTTTAGTGTTTTCTACAAATATATTTTTATAATATTAATAGGAATATGGATATACATTAAATAGAGATATATTAAGAAATTAAATAATAAATGATATTTGAA